GTGTAGAGACACACAGACTGTGTGTGTAAGTGTGTAGGGAGACAGACTGTGTGTGTGTGTGTGTTCTCTACACACACAGAGACAGACACAGAGTGTGTGTGTGACAGACAGACAGAGATTGTGTGTGCTGGGGAAGTCTCTGAGGTAAAGGCACTCACTTACCAGCCGGAACAGCGTTCAGACCTCAGACCCTCTCCTGCAGTGCTTGGAGTCCTGAGCTAGGCTGTCCTGTCTTCCCTGCTGGTGTACAGGGGGAGGGGGACACCCTGACATCAGCACCCTCCTACCCCACGCTCTGAACAGCCCCCAGGAGGGTCCCAGGAGCAGCAGGGCCTCCAAGGCAGAGGGCTGCAAAGCAGCGGGGGGGGGGGGGGCACACCTGAATACAGGCTGCCGGCTGGATGTGAGTGGCTCTGCACAGCACTTCAATCACTCAGTGTGCAGCTTACAGGGAACACGGCTGGGAGGGAGCAGGGACACAGATAACAGCGTTCTCCTATTGCTGGTGTGGGGCTGCCACCAGGTGCTGCCTCACCAGCTGCTCTCCCTGCTGAAGGCCACAGGTGGAAGGCACCTCTTGCTCAAGGCTGAGCAGGGAAGATGTGGGTTTCATCAGGGATGCAGCACCGTGGCCCAGGCCTGTTACTCCCACACACATACACATCCCCTGTTCATCTGCACGGTGCCGCACCTTGGCTAAGGCGGATTTCTCTCCAGGGCTGTGAGGAGCTGAGTAAGGCCGTGTAAATACCTGGGTGGGCAAACAGCTGTGCATATCTCTCTATCAGTGTTATAGAGGGCGAACAATTTATGAGTTTACCCTGTTTAAGCTTTATACAGGGTAAAACGGATTTATTTGGGTTTACACCCCATTGGGAGTTGGGCATCTGAGCGTTAAAGACAAGAACACTTCTGTGAGCTGCTTTCAGGTGAGCCTTCAGCTGTTAGGGGACGTGATTCAGATCTGGGTCTGAGTTTGCAGCAGGCTAGCGAGTCTGGCTCAAAAGTCCTAAGATGACGGGGCAGGAAGGCAGGGGCAGAGGTAGTCTTGGCACATCAGGTGGCAGCTCCCAAGGGGGGGGTTCTGTGATCCAACCCGTCACAGTGGCGTAGTTGGCAGGATCTGTGCACAGCTGAGTGCTTTGAGATACTGGTAGTGATTTTAAGTGAATTTAAAGTGTGGTGGCTGGAGAACAGACGAAGTGGTTACTGGTTTGTTATTTTCTGTTTATTTCGGGTAAGGGAAGTAGGGACAGAAAAGGAAGCAAAATAAGAGTGAAGATCAAAAGAAGCTAGATCTACACAAGTTGCAAATTGCCCAGAAAGGCTGAACACTGGGCGCTGGGAAAATCTCTGTTAACTAAGAAGCCCCTGAGCTGAGTGCATCTCAGTTTCAGTGAACTGCAGATGGATGTGGCCCAACCTCTGTCTGTGCTGAAGCTCACTGGAGTGTCTAACTTAGCAAGACAGGAGTGGAGGGGTGCCTGTTCTGGCAGAAGGGGGTTCTCTTTGGTATCCGAGCTCATCAAGTGACAGTCTCAAGGGAAAACAGATGGAAATTGATGTGCAATTTGCCCGGGAAAAGACTGCCCACCGGCAAACCCTGGACTTAAAAGACAAAGCAATTAAGACCCAAAGACATGAACTGGCTGTAATGGAGTAGAAGAGGTGCACAGAAACATGTATCCTAGAGCTGGAAGTTGGGGTGCTGGTGACTGCTGTGGTGGGAACAAACCCCAAGGACTCTGTAGCTGGAAGCAAACCCAACCTGAGAGAAAGGGGGGGATTGTGCTGGCCAGTGAAAGGTCTGTCATAGCTGGTAGCTGTGAGCCCACAGCTGGATCAGGGTCTCTTTCCCTTTTGGGGGACATAGGAGTGTCTGCCCCAGAAGGGAGCCCAAAGAAAAATTTTAGGTATACTGCCTCCGCCATGGTCAGTGTCCAAGCCTCTGGCAGTAAGTTCAGAAAGAGGGTGTGATATTGCAGTCTATATGGTTTTATAAAAATATACTAATGAGTAAATATAATGTAACTGTAATATGCTTCATACAAAAGGTCTCTTGTAAGGTATCATTACAAAGTTTATAATCTACTGAGTGTGTTCATCCTATTTCTATAAATGTATCACTCTTGTATCTAAAACCAGAAATATGAAATATAACTCTGAGGGCCTATTGTAATTATGCAAAGTGTGGGCCATTAATGGTGGTTTGGAATCTTGATGGCTCCCATTAACCAGGACAATTGATTGTGGATGGCTCTGTTTGCTTGCAGGCCTTCCTGTGAGTCAGGCTGGGAGGAATGAAGGCTTGGGGTCTTAGAGTGACATGTGATCATGTCACCTGAACTGGAATCCATCTTTAACCTGGTGCTTTTCCAGTGAGAAGGGGGGGGGGGAAGAACCCAGAGGGACAAAGGGTTCCCACCTTATGCAAAAGATATATAAATGGGTGGAACAGAGCAAAGGAAGAGCCATCATGAAGAATCTCCTAGCTACCACCTGAGCAGGAACAAGGGCTGTACCAGGTGAAAGAATTGTGCCCAGACTAGGAAGGTGTCCAGTCTGAGGAAAAAACTTACTAAAGCATCTCCAAGGGTGAGAGTATCTGTATTCAGTTTGAATAGACATAGATTTGCGTGTTTTATTTTATTTTGCTTGGTGACTTACTTTGTTCTGTCTGTTACTACTTGGAACCACTTAAATCCCACTTTCTGTATTTAATAAAATCACTTTTTACTTATTAACTCAAAGTATATGTTAATACCTGGGTGGGCAAACAGCTGTGCATCTCTCTCTATCAGTGTTATAGAGGGCGAACAATTTATGAGTTTACCCTGTATAAGCTTTATACAGGGTAAAACGGATTTATTTGGGTTTAGACCCCACTGGGAGTTGGGCATCTGAGTGTTAAAGACAAGAACACTTCTGTCAGCTGCTTTCAGGTAAGCCTACAGCTGTTAGGGGACGTGATTCAGACCTGGGTCTGGGTTTGCAGCAGGCTAGTGGGTCTGGCTCAAACCAGGCAGGGCACTAAAGTCCTAAGCTGACAGGGCAGGAAGGCAGGGGCAGAGGTAATCTTGGCACATCAGGTGGCAGCTTCCAAGGGGGGTTCTGTGATCCAACCCGTCACAGGGGTAATAAGAAACAGCCCCCAAAATTGGGACTGTCCTTATAAAGTTGGGACACCCTAGGTAGGAGGGGACAGTTTGGTAAAGGTGGGGAGTGGGAGGCTGGCATCTCCAGGGAGCAGAGGTAGTTACCATGTGTGGTTTAAGGTGGGTACTTGGGGATGGAGCCATAGAGGGGCATGAACTGGTGGGTGATGCTTTCCGGTTCCTGGCTTTGGTGGAGTTGAGTCAGGTATGGTGTGTGCGCACAGCAATGATTTTTCTAAGTTCTGGGGTTACTCCCCTCAGCTCCCAGCCCCCTGTTTAAGCCGAGGCCGAGGGTGGGATTGCTGGATGGTACAAATGCAGCTGCTGAAGAACTGCGCTGTAAGCAATTGCACATAAATGCCTAGGTGCAACTGTAGCAAATACACAGCACCAAGTGTCCGCCCCACTGATGCCCGTTTGAGCCCATTTCTAACCCAAAGGCGAAGTCGCAGCCAGCCCCCTCCATAACATTTAACTCAATACAATAGATTCCAGCGGCTGTTTCTTAGAAGGGTTCGTTTGCATCTCCATTTTGCATGGGAGAGCGTAAATACCTAGCTACACTTCAAAGGCTTTACCCTGCTCTGGCAGCATAGAAGGACCTTAAAGTGGGTGGAAATAGCCCATTTGCTCCAGGGTTTGGCCGCCCAGTGCATTACACCCACTCTGCTCCTAGCCCCAGGTGTAGGGGACAGATTGGAGGTGGAGGGTGACGGGAGAACAATGGAGGGATCACGAGAAGCAAGTGTGAGTAGCCCTGAGGCTGCTGCTAATTAATACCACAGAGCAGGCAGGCCCCTGCATGGCCCCAGAATACAGGGAACACCAATAGTAGCTCTTTCACCATCCCTGCCCCAAGCCCATGACCACAGTCAGTGAGACACTGTCCTCAGGCTCAAATCCTGCATGCCTTGTTCACCCATTGATTTATGGGTGCCCAGGAGGGCAGGGCTGGATACCAAGACAGTCAGGGGCAGATCTAACCTCTTCCTGCACAGATCCGTATGCAGTGACCTGTCTAAGGGACGGTACGTGCAAGTTAGCTGTGAAAGGGAAGCCTGAGCATTCAGGCAAATCAAACCACCACTTACCTAAGTGCCTACATCGCAGGAAAGACGTGGTAGAGGGTGTAACTGTTCAGGACAATGCTAGAGCCCGTTTCTGCATGGGCAACAGCCAGCCATTCCTCTTCAAGGACCTACCCAACTGCCCTCCAGCCACATGAACGACAAAAGAGAACGGAGGTTGCTGAGCCTGGCACGGGACCAGCCCCTACGTGTGCAGCACATGGATAGTTTTAGGATGTAGCACCAACCTTGACAGCCACTCTGCCTTCCGTGGAGTGCCGAGGGATGGGGCTCCTAAGGTAGACATGCCAGCATGGTGGGGAGAAGAGGCAGGATCTGGCTCTGCCAACAACTCTTGGTGTGGCCTTGGGGAAGCCAGTCCCTGTCTGTTGTAAAATAGGGGTGATGATTCAGCCTCACCTTTAGGAAGTGTTTGGAGCTCTGGTGGGGGAGGGTCACAGCAGTTGTACCAATATCCCCCCAAGGCTGCATGTTGGTCCACCACCTAAAAGGGCACTAATAAGCCCCTCTCTCTTGCTTTTGAAGGACTTGCCTTCTGTATAAATAACCTCTGGGCAGTGCGATTCTCATCCATTTCCTGATCTTCTTTCTTTCCATGGGCGGCGGGGCTCCCCAGCTCCAGGCACCATTGCTCTCATGCAGAGATGTGTGAAGAGAGGAAAGGAAAGAGAGAGGACGTTAAAAGTCTGGGCCAGTCACCCTGCAAAGTGGTCCTTTCTGAAAGCGAGAAGGGAATTTACCATGGACAATCCCAGACTAAATTAGGAAACCCTTTATTTCAACCAAGAGTATTACAAGAAATCCATAAATGCGGTAAAACACACGTCATAGTTCTCTAGGGTTTGATAACAAAGCAAGTACTGGCCCGATACCAGCCTTTCTAATAAAACAGAAATGAAATATATTAACTCTTTAATACCCAAGTGCTGGTTTACAGGAGATGTCAACATTCAGTTAAAGGCAGGTTACATGGTTTTTCCAAGTCTTTTGGTACCTAAAAACCATCCACGTGAGGCAATTGGTCAGTGAGAAAGGAGGTGATCAGGAACAAATCTCTTTGCTTCCAGGCTTTGGGCAGAGGTAACACTACCATTCAGTCGGCGTTCTAAGCACAGAAGAAGAGTAGCCGGTTAGCTGAAAGTTCTGTGGCATGGATCCTCTCTATTTGCTTGGTTACAAAAGCTGGAAGGCTTCAGCGGGTGCGATTTCTTTGCTGAACCCCAAGCTGCTGCATTATCAGGGCTGCTGATACAGCTGTGGCCCCTTTCCCTTTTAGAGCAGTGTTATATTTTACCCTGGAGAAAAGGTTCTAGGTAACAGTCTATTTGTCCATGGCACAGTGCATCCCGGCAGGCTCAGATAAGTCCATTTATTTTCCTGTTCTCATTTTCAGACTCTGATTGAAAGGGCAGAAATGTGTCAATCTGATGGAAGTCTGAGACACAGGCCCCGTTCCAACATGGTAGCTCTTGGTGCCCCGTTGGATTTGTTCTTTGGATGAAGTGCTTTCCATTTAAAATCATGGCATCTTCCAGAAGGATCTCTACTTTCCACACTGACAAGCAGCATGAGTAGAAGAGCGTGATGAGGCGTGGGAAGGATCTAGTTAGGGGATGACCCTGGATGGAGCTGGGCCCACTTAACTCCAGACTTCAAGAGGAGGTCAGGGGTTCTGTGAAACTTGCAGGAGGCATTCAGTGCCTTTCAGGACCGGGCTCAATGTCCAGTATTTTCAGACCTAGGTGTCTGAAGTGAAGCAGCTAAGTAAGAGTGCCCTGCTTGTCAGAGGGCCTACGCACCCTCAACTTCCACTCAAGTCAATGGAAGCTAATCTGAGCAGGTTTACATTAGGTTCCCAGCATGGATTCAGGTGCTTAACTTTAGGCCCTCACATTTGAAAATTCAGCTTCTGAAGGAAGCATCGCTAAGCTAGTGAGATCCCGGTTCTACCCGAAGTTCCATGGATGTTTAGAAGAGGGAGTGCAACAGTTTCAGCATCGACAATCTGGTCAGTGTTCCCACATCTGGGGGTATAACACATCACATCACACAAGGTCGCGTCTAAGATCCAAGAACACACAAGGCAGTTTTCCCACTGCCACAGACTGCTTTGCAATACGCATCGTGGCCGTTTCAGAAATAGGACACCAGACAAGATGCTTTTGCCACTTTAAAGAGTCCCAGAGGGACACTGAAGTTTTGAAAAGCAGCTGCTGCACATGCCCTGTAAGACACCTGCAAAAGGTTTCTAATATGGTGTCTACAGTATGACTGACATGTCATGGCCTCATTTCAGTGCCTATCAAGTAACATTAACAGGAGATGCCTACGCTGCGTCCAAGGGCAGTTAGACCTTCTGATGGGTTCTGTTCTGCTTCAAGAAATACGGCAGTGAAAACACCTGCCAGAAGGCTGAGCAGAGGTTTCAACTCAGATCCTTATTCTTAACTACTGAATCTAGATTTCCCTGCTGTAATATGTGCTGCTGATATTCTTAGCAGTTATTCCCGGTTATTCACCACAGATTTACAAATGACAGTAGGCCAGATAGTCAAGGCTCACAGATGACAGAAAGCAAAGGGGAATCTCTCTAAGAAGTTTCTTGGAGAAGAGCATAAATGAGAAAGCGGTAAGAGAGACATGACAATAAGTCTCAGGATAGGTCTACTGGGAATCTTGAGGTCCTAGTTTTATGTAACATGAATGATGGATTTTATTCCTTTCAAAAGGAAATGACTAAAAACAACTTCATTCAGGGGTAGTACTGAGAGGCACGAGGGCAAATGCTTCTGTCTTGACTGGTGCTGAATTTTTTATGGGCTGTCTCCCTGTATGCAAACTGCTGGGCATACCTAACTGGGTCAAATGCCAGAGGACAGCTTCTTTGGCAAAACAGCCTAATTCGTGTTGGTTTTCCAGGCACAGGGAAAGATGCACCATAACTGCTGGGTCCATGAGCCCAGGAACTCAGGAGTGGCTTCAGATGTTCCTGTGGATACTAAATCTAAACTACAAATGAGATATGAAGGCTGCAGCTTTGCCATAGGATTCTCCCAATTAAGCACTCCTGGTTTGCATACTGACTTGTCTGCTGCTTCTTGTGGAGAAGCGACTGCTACAAACAGCCACTGGGCTGCCCGGTTCGGCTTTCTGCATACCGGGTAACTCACACTGAACTCCTCAAATCAGTACCCGATGCTGGAAAGTCCCGCTCTGCATTCATAGCAGAATATAAAGAATATGCAATAAACCTGTTTCTGTAATTGCTTGTAAGGCAGATCTTTCTGAAGCAGACTGGAGGGTATGTAGCTGCTGTCAGCATTAAGCTTAGATACAGGGACAAAGCCATGTCAGAGCAGCATACAGAGGAGAAGAAATGGGTACCACAAAAAATGTTTTAGATGTAGCTCAATTTCCTGTCACATGTACAGCAGGGAATTGCCTAGAACTGCACGGTCACCATCACCGTGAGCCTAGACCTCCACGATCTGACAGCTGGTTCTTCTCATAAGCCATTAATATTGAGTAAAATCTCATTTTTGTGACCTGTAATATTTTAGCATTTCTCTTGCACAAATAATTCATTAACATTGAGTAGCAAGAGCTCTCAAGAAGATGATCATTGCCAACTTCCCCCCAGACTGCAATGGGACTCCCAATATGGGCAAACACCCTGAGCCCACAGACAGCGGTCCTTACCAGCTTTAGGATCTCACTCATGTCTTCCAAGAAGCCAGCTCCCTGGGTGGGAAGCATCTAAGGGCCTTAGGGGCACCAACCCCAGTGACAGCCAACGAGACTTGTGCTCTGAGCTCATTTCGGTGCTTCTGAAAACCCCACTGATGATTCTTGTGTAGCTTTACAGGTATTTTACCCATTGAAGTGAAAAGCAAAAGGGCAAATAGATTCTGAACAGGAATATCTGGGAGAGAAAAGCATTTCAGAGGCTGGACCACTGGACTGAGACTGTCATATCAAGCTCACACCCACAGGTACCATGCAGAACTTCAAACCACTGTCTGGTTTTCCTCACGGCTCTTTTCGCCAGGGTAGTGGATGGTAGCGCTAGCTCTGCGAATTCCTTTGGAAAGGGTATTGCTTCAGTTCTATTGAAATCTCACCTTCTCTTCTTTGCCATGGACAAACCAAGTGTCATTTGTAGGTACCAAACAGACAGGAGGAGTCAGTGACGAATGCAGTTTTCATTTAATAGAAAACGGTGTTAACAAAAATACACAACAGAAAGAAATGACAAACATTAGCAAATAAATCACCATCCTTTGTATGTAGTGTTAATGCAGCAAATTCCTAATGTGATTCAGTTTCAGTGCATGAAGAGCTAAAATTTCTGCATCTCCAGCCTTGATTCCCATGCAGCGAAGTGCCCTCACAGCTCCCTGATAGATTTATTGCACTTAAGAAAAAATAAAAATAAAAAAAGCGTAAGTTCTACCCAACAGCCCCCTCACTAGGCTGGTTCTCTGGTCAGTTTATACAATAAATTTGTTAAATTACAGATTAGTACCGTAGTTTCCTTCCGAGATTTCTCTTCATAGCAAAGCAGTAATCCACATATACAGAAATATTTCTCTTCCGATAGCAATTTTGGGGGGCGGGTGGGAGGGTGTGTGTCTGCCATTCCTCGTGGATTTGAACCAAAATGGTAGTTCAACACCTAATTTAACCTACCGAGTCTTCCTTCTTCTCCAAGTCAAGGATAAAGGTGGTTCAATCTCTTATGACCCACGTCATTCAGACTTTACGCTAACAGGCCTTGCTACACGATAAAAAAGGTTTGCTGCATAACTTTGTTTCCCTTCCTTGATTGTTCCTCTTGCATGTGCTATATTGAAGCCTTCTGCCCAACACCTCAATGCTGCCCTAGAACTGCTGCTTCCGCCCCAACAGGCCTGCTCCTCTCTCTGGCTGTGGGTACAGGGGCAGGCATTCCATTCATTTGGATTATCAGTGAGGCGATTTGCACTCTGGCAATTCTGGCTTTCATTGTAATAGTGACTTCGGAATAATGGCCTCTTTGGGTGTCATGCTTTGTGCAGGGTGTGGTATGTTGCAGTGGGACTTTGCAGACTAAAACAATGACCCATTCCACACTCTCGATACCAGAGTGCTCGGCCAGCAGAATCTCACAAGCCCTGGGACATTGAGAGAGAACCCTCCCTGAGAAAATTGAACACCTTTTCCAGAGCAACCGGATTCCTTCCCTTGGCAAGAAGAGTAAAGGAAAGGCACCGCTAATAGTATATTCGTCCTATCAAAGGTGTGACAGCCTCTGGGATTCTCTGTATTAAGCACAATTTATAGAATGGAGCATGTTCCAATGCAGAATTGAAAATTCATCCCAAAAAACCTTTGGTAAAAGGGGCAAATATTCTCTAAAGCAAGATTTTACACTGAATCAAAAGGCCCACTGACCAGCTAAATGAAAGCTACTTACACAGTCATGAAAAGTCAAATTCCTGTTCATCTTTTAATGGTGTAACATGTCCCCTGAATCTTTCCTCAGCCAAATACAAAAGGAGTTGGAAAATCCAAAACAGAAGGAGGGCAGTAACTTAAACAAACAAGGTGATCCTAGACTTCCTTTAATGTAATAAAATGTAGAGGATCCAACTACTTCTACTGCATATTTGCCTCTGGCTCAGTATTAGATTGCTGGATGAGTCCCCAAATGGAGATGACTGAGTCAGCCCCATCCCACCCTCTCTCTCACACGGTCAGTTCCGTACTATATGGCTTTGAGAAAACCTTGCTAAAGGGGGTAATTTGTCCTTCTCTTTGAAGCTTATAAAAGTTAGGAAACTAGAATAGACTCAGCCATGATGATTCCTTCTCCCCCAAGAGACACACAACAATGGAATTTCACCTGATCCTCAAGGGTATTAGCTCGGCCTCTTGAACACGTCACAGGCAGGGAGCCCCCTGAAATGTGGATCTCACAAATGTGTGTTTGTGTGCACACAAGCACGCCGGCTAGTTATGTCAGTGTGGTGTTCTGTATAAGGGTTTGCACGGGAAGGTATTTCTGATGGTGCTTTTTGGCAGAGTTCTGCAAACCAGGAGTAAAGTTCCAAAAAGGTTGCAGGTTAGACTAAAAGTAATTCTACATTGTTTTCTAAGTTAAATCCTGTTCAGTACTTTGAAGCTCATGATAAATATATACCTAAAAAAGGAATTTAAAATAAATAACCATTGTGGCTGTGGGTGCAGCCTGTCCTGGACAGCTTGTCTGGCGATACAAGTTTCTCAACAGGTGACTACAGCTTGTCAGTGCCACGCTTCCCAGGGACACAATCATGTGCAACCATTCTGCTAGCAGGTTTCCATGTTAGAAAACAGTTTTCTTAAACTAGCCTTCAGAGACCTGGGACACTTGTAGTGTGTGGAAAGCAAACCCAGGCCTGAACCATGAGACTCTGGGTTTTTAATCTCCCATTTGATTTGGAGAAAATTCCTGTCCAATGCCCATTCTCCAGGATTGAGGATATCTTCTCCTTACAAATTACTCAGTAACAGTGGTAATTCCAGAGAAATATAGAAAGAAAAATGCAAATGCATCAGCTAGTGTCTAGAGAAGGTCAGAAAGTAGTGCCGTTTCCATCAGGTGCCAGGTAGGGAAATCACTCTTTTGGTAAGATTTTCTCTCTGTTCTCCTTCCCTTCCTGAATCATCTTGAAAATATCCGAGTCCTTCCTTACAGGGCAGAGTCAAGAATGTGGGGAAAAGTGTCTAGGGCAGGAAATATCACATTGTTTTGAAAAAAAATAACCTCTGTACTGCAGACCAAGGTTCTTCTGAATCATGTGGAGTGGGAAGGGAAGAAAGCTACACAGGCATGTCCCAAGACAGTCTCAGCTCAACGTAGATCGACCCAGAGGAGCTGTGAGAGAGAACAAACACCAAGTCAGACATTACAGGAATTGCCAGGCAGGGTCAGCAGGCTGGTGGCCTCCCTTGTACCGTGCTCAGCACCAGATACTCCTGAGGAAGCTGCAAAAATCTCCATCACCCACAGCTATAGACTAGCCAGCCCTATGGAGGCAGCGTGCTGCTAACCCCAGCAGTCAGTGGCTGAGACAGGAGGATCTGTTTTCCTTATACATATATTCCTTATGTTATTTTATCCTAACTTATATCAAACCACAGAATGGAGTTGGAACAGTTCCCAGCCTCTTTGCCTAAGGCTACTACATCTACCACAAGAGTTTAATAATACCTGCTCTCAAGATCTATTTCAATAATAACTAACATCCAACTCGGTACCCTACATTTCCCTTTACAATTGTATTTAAAATCAGATACACACACTAACTTGGAGCACAGCTCCTCTTAAGAAAACATCATAAAACACAGACTTAAAAATACAATACAGTAACTCCTCACTTAACGTCAGCCTGGTTAACGTCGTTTCGTTGCTGATCAATTAGAGAACATGCTCCGTTTAAAGTTGCGCAATGCTCCCTTATAACGTTGTTTGGCAGCCGCCTGCTTTGTCCACTGCTTGCAGAGAGAGCAGCCCGTTGCAGCTAGCGGGTGGGGGCGTGGAATCAGAGTGGACCGGCAGCCCCACTATTAGCTCCCCGCTCCTCTAAGTACCCGGTGTGCAATTGCCGGGCAGTTCAGCTGTCCCTCCCCCCACTGCCCTGTGTTGCTTCTGCTCTCTGCCTTGGAGCTGCTCCTGGGAGCCTCCTGCTTGCAGTGCGGGGTGGGGTGGGGTGGGGAAGGGTGCTAATGTCAGGGTGTCCCCCTCCCCTCTGCTCCTGCCCCCTGCTTCTTTACACCATCTCTATAAAGTGGGGGTGGGGGGGAGACACACAACGGCTCAGGACAGAGGGAGCTTGCTGGCAGCAGATGCTGTCTCAACTTGCTGATCTACTTAAAAGGGCAGCGTACTTAAAGTGGGGTCAGCGTACTTAAAGGGGCGATGCGCATCTCTCTCCCACACAGGGTGTATGTCTCCGTCTCTCTCTGCCATGCTGTCTCCCTTCCCTCCATTCCTGCGGCCTTGTAGCGTGTGAGGCTACATTAACAACGTGTTAACCCTTGAGGGCTCAGCCGAGTGCTAGTTCAGCATTTAGCAGTAAGGCATTCCCTGGGAAATATCCCACCCTCTGACTTCACCACCTCAACCAAGCTTCACAATCATCATTGCTGTGTACAGTATTAAACTGTTTGAAACTTATACTGTGTATGTGCATATATATTAGTTTTTGTCTGGCGAAAAAAATTTCCCTGGAACCTAAGCCCCCCTATTTACATCATTCTTATGGGGAAATTGGATTCGCTTAACATTGTTTCGCTTAAAGTAGCATTTTTCAGGAACAGAACTACAACGTTAAGAGAAGAGCTACTGTAGTAATCATCATTAGTTACCTAGATAAACCAAATCTCAGCATTTGCAGTATTTCTTCCACTTAATATAGGAAATACCTACAGAGTATGGCAGTTACCCTAGTAACGTTATTTAGTAACTAAACCTCTTTGGGCAACACACTTTAAGAAAGATGTGGACAAATTGGAGAGAGTCCAGAAGACAGCAACAAAAATGATAAAAGGTTTAGAAAGTCTGACCATTGAGGAAAGTTAAAAAAAAAAAAAAAAAAAAAAGACAGTTACCTTTTCTGTAACTGGTGTTCGAGATGTGTTGCTCATGTCCATTCAACTTTGGTGTGTGTGCTCGCCACATGCACTGGTGCTGGAAGTTTTTCCCTGAGCAGTATCCATAGGGGACCAGCTCCGGCGGCCCCTGGACTGGCGCGCACATGCCACGGTAAATAGGGTGCTACCAGTTCCCCCCACCCTCAGTTCCTTCTTGCCGGAAACTCCGACAGTGGGGAAGGACGACGGGTTGTGGAATGGAAATGAGCAACACATCTCGAAGAACACCAGTTACGGAAAAGGTAACTGTCTTTTCTTTGAGTGATTGCTCATGTCCATTTAACTTAGGGGACTCCCCAGCAGTACCCCTCGGAGGTGGGTAGGAGTTCACGGATGTGTAGATTGCAACACAGCTCTGCTGAACCCAGCGTCGTCCCTGGCCTGCTAAGTGGGCCGTGAACGTGTGCACTGAGGACCACGTCATGGCTCGACAGATGTCCTGGATCGGGATGTGTGCCAGGAAGGCCGCTGAAGATGTCTGTGCTCTGGTCGAGTCTGATGATTGGGGGCGGAGGGACTCCTGCCAACTTGAAGCAGATCCGAATGCAAGAAGTGATCCAGTTGGAAATCCTCTGCATGGACACTAGTAGGCCCTTCATCCTATCAGCTGTAGAGATGAAAAGCTGGGTTGACTTACGGAAAGGCTTTGATCTAGGTAGAAAGCCAGAACCCTTCTGACGTCCAAAGCATGAAGGTGCTTCTCTTCACTAGTCTCATGGGGCTTGGGGCAGAAGACCGGAAGGAAGATGTCCTGGCTCATGTGGAAAGCGGACACCACCTTGGGAAGGAAGGCCGGGTGGGGCTGGAGCTGGACCTTGTCCTTATAGAAGACTGTGTATGGCAGTTCTGAGGTCAGGGCTTGCAGCTCGGAGACTCGCCTCGCTGACGTCACCGCCAACAGGAAAGCTACCTTCCATGATAGGTGAGACAGGGAGCACGAGGCCAAAGGCTCAAAGGGTGGGCCTGTGAGCCTGGACAGAACCAAGTTGAGATCCCTCTGAGGGGCTGGGGACCGGACTTGAGGACAGTGTCTCTCAAGGCCTCTAAGGAACCTGACCATCATGTCATGGGAGAACACAATCTGCCCCTGGATTGGCAGATGAAAGGCCGAAAGGGCTGCCAGATGCATCACGATAGAGGAGTGCACCAGGCCCTGGTTCCTTAAATGAAACAGGTGGTCCAAGATCGACTGCACCGAAGAATGTGAAGGGGAGATGCCCCGTTCGGCTGCTGGATCCCTTCATCTGGGTTCAGCCACACAGCATCCACACCGTGAGGTGGATGGACGCCAGGTTGGGGTACAAGAGTTGGCCGTGATCTGTGACAGCAGGTCCCGTCAGTTCGGCAGGGGCCAGGGAGGGACTGCTGACAAGCTTGATAGTGTCCCGAACCAGTGGTGGCGAGGCCACGCCGGGGCGATCATGATAACCTGTGCCTTGTCCCTCTTGATTTTCGCTAGGACCGTGCTGATGAGCGGAATCGAAGGGAACGCATACATCAGGCTTCCTGCCCATGGCAGGAAGAAGGCGTCAGAGAGGGAGCCCTTGCCCAGACCCCATCCAGAGCAAAACCTGTGGCACTTCCTGTTCTGCCTGGTGGCAAACAAATCCACTTGGGGAGTTCCCCACCTCTGGAAGATCATGCCAGCTACATCCAGGTGGAGCACCCACTCGCGGTGAGAGAAAAGTCCCTGCTTAGGTGACCTGCTAGCATGTTCCTGGCACTCGGAAGGTAACACACTTTAGATGGCAGAGGATTGTGCTCCGCCTTGCCTGTTGATGTAGAACATCAAGGCTGTGTTGTCCGTGAGGACTCTGACCACTCTGCCTGACAAGTGAGGTAGGAAGACTGTGCATGCTCTGTGCACCGCCCTGAGCTCTTTGATGTTTGTGTGTGGCGTCAATTCCTAGGGGAACCACATACCTTGGGTCTGGAGGGTGCTGAGGTGTGCCCTCCAGCCAAGGTCCGAGGCGTCCAAACCAACTCGTCTAAGTGAGGAGTGCTGACGAAGGGAACTCCTTCCAGGATTTTCCGGGGCTCGGTCCACCATCGCAGCGAGGTAAGTACCATCATGGGGATGGTGACGACCTTCTCCAGGTGGTCCCTGGACTGGGAGTAGACCCTCACCAACCATTGCTGCAGGGGTCACAACCGGAGCCTGGCATGGCGCACCACATATGTATACGCTGCCATGCGACCTAGTAGGCTCAGGCAAACCCTGACCGTGGTCAGGGGAAACACGGTCAATTCTGCAATGAGGTCCGTCAATGCCCTGAATCTCTCCAGCGGCAGGAACGCCCTGGTGCAGGTCAAGTTGAGCACTGCTCCAATGAACTCTATCCTCTGTATCGAAACTAACGTGAATTTTTTGTCGTTCACCAACAGACCGAGGCGACGGCAGGTGGCTAACAGCATCACAACATCCCTTTGGACCTGGCACCTGGCTCTGCCATTGACTAGCCAGTCGTTGAGGTATGGGTAGATCTGGATACCCCGACATCTGAGGTAGGCAGCCACCACCCACATGCACTTGGTAAATACCCATGGTGCTGTTGCTAGGCCAAACGGGAGGACTGCAAATTGATAGTGGTTGGAACCTACCATAAACTGTAGGAAGTGTCTGTGTCCCTCAAAGATGGCAATGTGAAAGTATGCATCTTTCAGATCGAGGACAGCATACCAGTCTCCTGGATCCAGGGAGGGGATGATGGAGGCCAGGGAGACCATGCAGAACTTTAGCTTTGCTAGGAAGTGGTTCAGGTCTCGCAGGTCCAGGAAAGGTGATAGACCACCCTTGGCCTTTGGGATTAAAAAGTAGCGGGAATAGAACCCTTTGTTCCTGAACTCTGGAGGAACGATCTCCACCGTACCTAGCTGAAGTAACCCCTATACCTCCTGCTTGAGGAGACTCTCGTGAGACGGGTCCCTGAAGAGGGACGGGGAGTGGGGTGGGAAGAAGGGGTAGAAAACAACTGAAGGGTGTAACCCCGAGCCACCGTACTCAGGACCCATCAGTCCGATGTTATAGATGCCCACACAGGGAGGAAAGGAGAAAGGCAGCTGGCAAAAATAAGGGAGGGAGGATCCTGGGAACAGTCCGGTATGTTGCCCTCGGGCATACCCTCAAAACGAGTGCCTGCCCACCTGCTTATTGCGGGTCGAGCTCGACTGAGAGGCCCGCGGAGGCGGTTGCCTAGGACACTGCTTGTAGCCTCTGGATTTCTTATGGGGAGGCGCCTGGCGAGGGTGGCTCCCCTGGCTCTGAGGCTGCTGCAGCTTAAACCGCTTGCAGGCAGGGCTGGGAACACACAGGCCCAGCGTTTTAAGGGTCATGCGGGAGTCCTTTAGGCCACGGAGCTTATTGTCCATCTGTTCCGCAAACAGGGCTTGCCCATCGAAGGGAAGGTCTTGCATCGACTGCTCCGTGGACAAGCCAGAGAGTAGCAGCCAGGATGCCCGGTGCATGGTGATGGCTGAGGCCATGGTTCGGGCGGCGATGTCTACCACATCCAATGCCACCTGGAGCATTGCCCTGGCCGCAGTCGTGCCCTCCTCCATAGTAGCCCGGAACTCCTTCCTAGAAGCCTCAGGAAGAGAGAGCCCTCGAACTTGGCCATGGCTTGCCACATGTTAAAATCATAGCATCCCAGGAGGGCCTGATGATTTGCCACCCTCAACTGGAGGCTAGAGGACGAATAAACCTTATGCCCAAACAAGTTTAGCCTCTTGGAGTCTTTGTTCTTAGGGGTAAGCCCTGGGTTGACCCTGTCACTCCCTGTGGTTAACAGCTTCTACCACTAGGGATCTGGGAGCAGGGTAGATGTACAGGTACTCATGGCCTTTGGATGACACAAAGTACTTACACAGCCCTCTTGGAGATGGGGGGCAAGGAGGAGGGAGTTTGCCACACGGCATTAGTGATCTGAGAGACCCCATCATGAAGGGGCAGAGCCACTCTGGCCGGTGCTGTGGAGCAGAGAGCATCGAAAAGAGAGTCCAAGGGCTCCTCTAGCTCGTCCACCTGAAGACCCAGGTTGGCAGTGACCCTCTTCAGTAGTTCCTGGTGCTCATTAGTGTCATTCGGAGGAACCGGAGGAGGAGGAGGCCCCATTATAGCCTCGTCTGGCGACGACAAGTGCCGTAGGGTCCTCCCCAACCATTGGTGGCCCAGTGGCTTGTTCCCCTGCTCCCTCTTGGATTTGCGGGGTCCTCGCGCCCGAGGCTTTGTGCGCCAGAGGAGGGCGGGAGAGAGAGGCAGCTGGTCTCTCCGAGGCTCCGGACACTGAGTGGGCAGCTTGGGAGGGCTGTGTGAACCCCCATGGGTTCAATGGGTACCCACAGTGTTGGCCACTGTGCCTGAGGCCACGGGGTTGGTTTCGGTGCCGCCAATGTAGCCGGTACCGCCGATACCGGAGATTGTCCCAGGGAACCTGGCTCCAAACCAGGGTTGGATCCTGAGTGGTCGCTCCCAGGTGACCAGGCTTGGAGCCGGCGATCTACGTCTCACGCTTGACGAGTGGGACTGGGATGAGGAGCGGGACCGGGATGAGGAGTGGGCTCGGTGTTGGGAAGCACCCGCACGTGGTGATGCCATCCTAGGGGATCGGCGACGGTCTGAAGAACGGTACTGTTGATCCCTCGATGGGTCCCTGGAGTGGTACCGCGGTCTCAGCAATACTGGGTGCCGGGTCCGGTACTCCTGCCGGGGGGCCGCGTGCCTCCAAAGGTCTGCGCCTGGTGGCCAGAGAGCTGCGCCTTGAGCCTCTCTGCCCGTGCCCAAGGTCTGGGGACCGAATAGGGCTGCGCTGGGTCTGCCAGATGTGCGGTGGCTAGGGGACGGCGAGCGCTGGCGGGACATCCCCCGTGAAGGGGAACGGTGCTGCTGAGGTGGGGACCGAAGCAGTCCAAACACGGGTTTACCTCGTGACCGGGGAACTGCAGGAGCTGGTGTGCACGGCACCAGGAGGGACATGATCTCCTGCACCACCTGCAGGGCCACCGGCATGGACGGCACCCAAAGCTGACAGAGGCCTCTTCCGCTATCGGGGGTAGCCGACAGGGAGCGGGTTGGCCTACATCGCTCCCCCGGAGCTTGGGCCCAGATCCCGATGTGTGTGAAGAGTTGCCCGGCCTGAGACCTTGCTCACACCCAGTCCTATCCTTTCCCTTGTGGGAGGTTGGAGACCAGCCTCGTCCCACCTGCTTGGGCTTCTTGGTTGGAGCCACAGATGGGAATCGGTGCTGGCTAGTGGACGGTCCCGGGGGGGGGGGGGGCGCTGTGCACCGAGGTCACGGTAATCAGCGCCGAGTTGGAGCGTTGCTCCAATGCCAGAGTGAGGACTGACTCCATAAGGAGCGCTCTTAAATTAATATCGCGCTCCTTCTTAGTCCTTGGCTTGAAGGACTTGCAAATTTTGGACTTCTCACTAATATGTCCTTCGCCCAAGCAACGCAGACAACTGCTGTGTGGATCACTAAAGGGCATGGGCCTCTTGCAGCAATCACAGGGCTTAAAGCCTGGGGATTGGGGCATGCCCCGTCCCGAGGCAAAGTCCTGTTCGGGACCTACAAAGTCTCTAACTATAGCGAAGGGATTTATCAACACCAATATAAAACTATATACTGTATAAAACAGAAGATAACTAGTTCGTACGAACGAGCAGCTAGAGCACTAACTGAAGCAGCAACAGTTCCAGCACTGTCACTGGTGGCAAGAAGGAACTGAGGGTGGGGGGAACCGGCGGCGCCCTATATACCGCGGCATGCGCGTGCCACTCCAGGGGGCGCCGGAGCCGGTCCCCTACGGATACTGCTGAGGGAAAAAATTCCGGCACTGATGCATGTAGTGAGCGCACACACCTAAGTTGAATGGACATGAACCATCACTCGAAGAAGAACTGGGCATGCTTAGTTGAGAGAAAAGAAGGCTGAGGTAAGACCTGATAACAGTCTTCATATATAAAAAGCAACAAAGAGTCCTGTGGCACCTTATAGACTAACAGATGTATTGGAGCATAAGCTTTCGTGGGTGAATTCCCAGTTCTTCATATATGTTAAGTCTTCATATTTGGAATAGGTTACCAAGGGAGGTTGTGGAATCCTTGTTATTGAAGGCTTTTAAGAACAGATTAGACAAAACATCTGTCAGGGATGGCATAGGTTTACTTGGTCTTGCCTCAGCACAGGCGGGTGGACTAGATGACATCTGGAGGTTCCTTCCAGGCCTACACTTCTATGATTCCTCCACCATTTTTTTCTCCTAATGCACAATTGGCTAGATGTATTCTCAGTGGGGGTTGCTGGGTTTTTCCCCACCTTCCTCTGAAACATCAGAGATTGGCCATGGCTGGAGATGGGACAACAGCTGGGGTGAACCAGTGCTCTGAGGCAGTGCAGAGAATTCTCTTTTAGATTCCTGGTCGGGATCCCTTGCTCACACGCTCAGGGTCATACTGATCAACAGACTGTGGCCCATGTCAGATTGGCAGGGATCTTGGGTTTTTTTCAACTCTTTTTGCAGTGGATTGCCTGCTGAGATCATCTGACCACATCTCACCTAATCAATTCCCTGCAATTGCAGGGGCCTCGGGCATTGGTGGCACCTTGATCTTTTCTGCTCTCTTCCTGTGGCACACGTCAGTTTAGTCTCCTGAGGACTGAAATACTTTGGGCTAAATATAATGGCCTGTGATATACTGGGGTCAGATTAGATGATCTAATGCTCAGCCAGGGTAAGTCATATCATCTGGACAATGCCAGTGAACGAGACCAGGATAGGCCACAGCCTCATGAAGATGGAACAGATGTTCCACTCAGGCTGTCCCACTGTTGACTCAGATTGGAGAGCTCTTTGGGCCTGCACCTATCCGGTAACGTATCCTCTCTCCATCACACAGACCTGTATAGCTTCTCCGCCTACAAAAGTTTTATGAGTGGATGACAATGGTGACATACTTTTTGAAACCTATGTATAATATATATAAATCAGTGGTTTTCAACCTGTGGTCCATGGACCCCTGGGGGTCCTCAGACTATGTCTAAGGGGTCCGCAAAGGGTTGTCAATGCCATAGGACAGTGGTTTTCAACCTGGGGTCTGCAGACTATATCTAAGATGTCCAAAGGGGTCCACACCTCCAGTTGAAATTTTTCAGGGGTTCACAAATGAAAGAAGGTTGAAAATCACGGATATAAATAAATGATATACAAAAAACTGCACTGAAACGATGATATTCAGGTTGTAAAGTCAGGCCCTCAGAAGTTAGGAAATACCACAAGGAACGTCTGTGCAACACGAACACTGCCACCTCCTTATGCGTATGCATTCTGATACAGGTACATGATCACATACTATTTTTTGCACAGGGAAAATATTTTGGGTGTGCGAAGTCAGGTTGACCTAGGTCTAGAATTTGTTTTTATTACAGACATGCTTGACTGTGTCTGAGATTCACCAGCCTTTCTCACACCCAGAGCTATTCTGGCAACTAGAACGTTGTAGACAAAATGGTGGAGAAAAAAAAAAAATCTTTGTTCTCTTCATCACAGCAACAGCAGCAGCTTTCAGAAACTCTAGTCTCCTTCTGTCTTGATTCTGTTACCAGAATACCGTTCAAACCTAGCAAAGCTTCCTTACCTAAAGTGTCACAGTGGCTCCTGCCCTGTCTCTTGACTTGCTTCTAGGAGCAATTCCTCCAGCTCCTTCTCATTCTTGGAACAGTTTAATTCTGAAATCAAACAAGGGTGAACCTCATTAATCAGCAACCTTAACACCAATTAATTTTCATTAAGAAACAAGCACCATGTCACTCTCCAAATTTGGGATCAGTGGGGCACGTAAATTAGGAAGCCTGGGATGGACTAGAGTAAGTGCTCAAACATAATGCTGTTTCCCTCCTGTTGTATTAATTTATAAAAAGAGACTGGTGCAAAGAGACAAAGCAATCAAAGGTTAAGAGTTTCCTAGCGTTTAATGACAGAAGCAACCATTACATCATCTCATCAGACCTCCTATATAACACAAGCCCTACAACTTCACCCAAATACCCTATGTGGAGCCCACATATTAACTGCAGTACTCCAAGCACTTTTTTTTTTATGGCACATAAAAAAAAAATCAAGAACAAAAGACCAAACAAAAATTGAATAAATCAAAATCAAGAGGGGGAAAGGGAGAAATGGAAAGAAGAAATCAAGAGGAAGTGTGTGGATCTATACATCTGCTTTCATCCAGGCCTCCTGCAGGGATCTTTACTTGACCAGCTCTAGGAAACTGACCCAAATAGACTCACATTTTCCCGTCTATTGTATGTGATCCCTTTCTTCGCAGCCAGGTCTGCCAGTCCATTACACCAGACTTTGTGCCCAGCGCGGGAACGGGGGTGTACTTTTCCAAGATAGCAAAACTGGACAGTAAAGCTCTGTGTAGTTATCCCCTTTGGTATGTTGATAGCCTCCATTTACTAGGTATATGATCCATGACACAGGTACCTACTTTAAAGTCAAGTGAAGTCTCTACGATCATGGTTTATTCTGGTTTTAATGTCACCCCAGAAGTTAAAACAATAGGGCATGACCAACACATCTCCTTCGCCTCCACACCTCCAACGTCAAATCACTGGGGGCAGCTTAAATTTTCTCAAGTCCTTGGAGAGACCCATGTACTCTAAAGGTGATTTTTGTGGAGACAGAATCAGAGGTCCAAGGTTGCTTCCTTAACCTCTTGGGTTGTTCTATTCCACTGGTGATGGTGTGGAGGAGGAAGAGATATTTATTGTCAATTCTTGGTTACATTTTTGCCCCTGTATAAACATCTGTATTAATGCTTTGGTGAGTCTCGTACAGTGTAGCTTCCAGTTAGGATAGTTCTCTACAAAATTTGAGAAGTTCTGGTGCTTCAGCAGCACAAATGCTTCCAGGCCAAATTCTGAAGTGAGCATTATTGTAGTTGGAGAGATGTAAACAGTGTGATCTGGTTCCCAGTTATTAATTGGGATATATATGGCATGGTGTATTCCATTCAGTTTTCCCACATTATTGTCTTCCTCCCCAATTTTTAGCATGGAAATATCCAAGACTGGGCCTGCTACATGAGATGAGATGGAATGTGTGCTGGAGTGCCAAGGTGGACCATATCTAAGGGGACATATGGATGGTGGGAATTAGATCTTTTTGGCATCTACAGTATCCAGAGTCTAAGTGTTTCTTCTATCTTAAACCAGATGCGGTCAGTTGGTTTTGTCAAATAGGAAGTGAAACATCACACTCAAAAGAAGTAAGAGACCGTAAACAAACTGACGTTACAAACCATATTCTTCATAGAAATAGGTTTATGATATGAATATGGCATAACTAAGATATACTTTATGCAAGATGGCACATGTAAGGTATCATTGGAAAGGTTATGATTTACTCAATGTGATTACCCACTTTGTATGCATGTATCATTTCTGTATCTAAAGCTACGCATGTAACAATTACAACTGTGTGTGTATTTGGGAGACACCCATCAGACAACTGACCATCACAGCCTTGATGGGCCATTCGGAAGAAACAATAAGACTGTGAAGATACTAATCTCTCTCCTTCCTGAGAGGCATCCTGGGACGTAGTTGTGACACTACCAGGTCAGGTGATAATATCACCTGATACAAAAAAATACCACCTTGGACACTGCTGGTACTTTTCCTCTGTAGGGGGATGGGTATCAAAAAGATTTCCCGCCTTCGGTAAATCCTTTTTAAGGCTGGGGAGGGGGTTAATCTAGACTCTCCTCCGTTGCCTACCCAAGAAGGACTGCTGACTCCATCTTGGGCCAGTAACTTTCCATACATAGAGGCTATTGGCTTTGTTTGGGACAATATATTTCCATGGACATGGCAGAGGGTATAAAAGGCACCTAAGACAGCTCCATTTTGCCTCTTTCCTGCTTTAATTCTCTGGACTGTGGATTTAAAACAAAAAGGAGCATCTTGAACTATGGACCAAAGACCTTCCAATTTTTTGACAGATACCAGAGAGACTTTTGCAAGCCAGCAGTCTATTCCATCACTGCTACAAATCTGATATAAGGACTTTGCAATCATTTGTATGCATATGATCCATTAACCATTTATAACTCTTTTTTAAATAAATCTTTACTTTAGTTTATTAAGGATTGGCTGACAGCAAGGTATTTGGGTAAGGTCTGAGCTATATATTGACCTGGAGATAAGTGTCTGATCCTTTGGGATTAGTAAGAACCTCACATATGGCGAATTAGGTTTTCAATAACCTCTCACTATATTAGATTTGTTCATCTGGATGGGAGCCAAGGGCTGGAATGTCTAAAGGGGGACAGTATTTGGCTTCTGGTTAACCAGCGTGGTACTGCAGAAGCTCTTTTGTTACTGGCTTGGTGACTCTAAGTATTAATAAACCACCAGTTTTGGGGATTGTTTGCCCTATTTCTTGCAGTCTGTCCCGAGTGTGGCATTCTTAATGTGGTCCATCCCAGGCACCTGGTCACACCTGGGTTACATAATGAACAATTACACACACTTGCTTTCAGGCCCCAGTACAGATGACAAGCATTTGAACCTACATTTCTGACCAACCACCACCTGTGGGCATATTTTCATAGAGAAGAATGAAGAAAGGTCAAGCCATCACAAATAAACGTACTCCTAAAAATCAGTCAGTTCACAGAGAATTTGCACGTAGAAAAGCAGGATAAATTAGCTGCATAAACACTATTTCCGACTAGTCTGAGCAGCTCTAGAAAAGAAAAAACAGAGCTTGTCCCCTCCCCCGCCCCCCAACAGCATGCCATTTTGCAGATTACAGCAAACTTCACACTCAAGCACATCGCCTGCAAACACTCGTATACATGCTCAGCTTCAAGCAAGTGAGCAATCCCTTGTGCCTGCTCACATGCGAAGAGTTGATTGTGTGTGTTTTCAGGACCGGGGCCTATGATGCCTAAAATCCAGTTATTCGGGAAACGTTTTTCATTTGTTTACTTTGGGTATTTGACAGCACCATGCATAGAGAAGTGGTTACTGTTTCCCTTCTGTGGGCACTTAGGCAGCTTCTCCCTTGCTGAGCAACCCTTACAGATTCAGACTCCAAGGGCAGAAAAGCCCACTATCACCTAGTCTGACCTCCTGCATAACACGGGCTATAGAATTCCCCAAATAATTCCTGTCTGAATTAGAGCATCTCTTTTAGAAAATCATCATCGAGACGGAAAAAAGCCATCATAAAAACTAGTTATAAAAGCAATCTTTTTTTTTAAATGCTATGAACGGTTTAAAGAGTGAGCGATCCGAAATGGTAATTTTAGAAATTAGTTTACAAAGCTAAATGTCCCTTAAACGGGTCCGAAAGGTCACTACGGAGTGACACTGGACACGTCCTCCCTAGGGACTGAGCACTGTTTTGCCAAGGGAGTGAAAGACTTCAGCTGTAACTACACCCCGGCAATGCAGAGCACTTCCAGCTATGGCTGGCCCAAGAAATGAGAAGTTAGGATTGGAAATCAAAGCCAGGTTTCTTGTATGGCCAGGTGGCCTCCTTGGGGAAGTGTTTGGGTTGCGAGAAGGTCTGGGAAGACATTTTCTATTTCCATGAAGCAGGAACAATGAAAGCAGAGAGCAGAAGGGATAGGAGCTCTCAAGGTTAGCTTTAGTTAGGGATGACAGCTTTAAGTGTCCAGAAGGCAACTTCTTACCCGTTTCATCTACTCCCTATCTCCATAAGCCTTCGATATGCTGACTGTAGTGATGAAAGAAGCACGAAGAGGCCCTCATCCTGACTGGGCCTCTAAATGTTACAATAGTAAGAATAAAACTAAGGGCTTCTAGTGCCAGCCCTACAAAGCCAACACACCCATGAAACAAGTGAACGACATTCTTTATGGTGACTTGTGCATCCTCTGGAATCCTCAATCTAGCTCTCGCTGGAGTCAATGGGAGTTGGCATAGGTGGTGGGTGGAGCCCCCCATTTGGGGAGGCTAGCCCCCGGCTCCATCCCTTCTGCCTGCATCCCCCCACAGCCAGAGCCCCGAGACCCCCTGCTACCCCGCAGCCAGACCCCCTCCTTCCCCCTTACTCTGCAGCTAGAGAAGCCCCAGGCCAGCTGGAGCCCTGAGCCACCCTCCCCCCCCCCACCATTGCAGTCAGAGGAGCTCTGGGCCAACCAGAACACCCCCCCCCAGCAATGCCGCACCTCCCCAGACCCCAAGTCACCCCGCGGGTAAAGCTCTGGTCTCTTCTCTTCTGGAAGAAAAACCTGAGCTTTTGATATGCGTCATGTAGGTTCCGTGGTGGCTGAGGAGGCAGTATGGGTTACTCAGCTTCCCAGCTTCATCAGTAGTCTCCCTGCACCTTCCCTCACCCCTCAGCTCACCTTCCCATCCCACAAGTCCCTCCTCCTTCTCCCCTGTCAGAACGTAAGCTCTTGCTGCATCCTTCTGTTCTGTATTTGAATCATGCCTAGCACAATGGGGAGTCCTAGTCCTTGGCTAGGGCTTCTAGGTATTAACATAATACAAATAATATATAAAAATACTAAGAAGTCATGCACAAGGGGTGATGGCATGTGCTCCAAGGCATGTGGATAATTGTATTAACCAGTGTATTTATATTGTGCAAGCATCATCCAACCCTTAGAAAGAAAAAGAGCCTGACTTCTGATCCCAGGGCAGATTGGGTCAAGAAATGGGTCATAGGCTTTGACATATGGTCAGAGAAGAAGGAATTGCACAGCCCCTTGCTAAACGTTCTGCAAGGAAGCTTGAGGAAAGCATGGTGCTGGTCACAGCTATCTATGGTATTATAACTAATCCCTGCCATTTTCCCGCCATAGTCACCTGCAACAGTCAGTGAAGAACTAGTGCTATCATCTCTGCGCAGTCTAGAGCCTTTGACAGCACGCTAGTGGGGAACACAGCCAGGTAGATCCCAGGACATACTTCTCAGGCAGGAAATGGAATGACAGCCTCAAAACATAGCGGGTCTTCTGTGGTGGTTTGAAACTTTTTCCCTGCTAGCGTGTTTCTGGACAATGGGTACGTCCAGACTACCCGCCGTATCGGCGGGTAGCGATCGATTTATCGGGGATTGATATATCGCGTCTCGTTAAGACGCGATATATCGATCCCTGAACGCACTCCCCGTCGACTCTGGAACTCCACCGGAGCGAGCGGCGGTAGCGGAGTCGACGGGGGAGCCGCGGCCGTCGATCCCGCGCCGTGTGGACCCAAGGTAAATCGATCTAAGATACTTCGACTTCAGCTACGCTATTCACGTAGCTGAAGTTGCGTATCTAAGATCGATTCCCCACCCCCAGTGTAGACCACCCAATGTGACAGTAGTATCTGGGACGCAGAAGGAAGAGAAACTATTGCACTGCCAAACGACTAAGAGTCACTAATCATAGCAGTTGGGTCATCCCCTCATGGAAATACTGAAGCTGCCTTGCTATTCTGTGATCCTCCAAGGTAGCTGGACAATCAGTAGGGGACTTTCTGTTAGGATAATTGGCCCTGTCTGGAGGAAGGTGAAAGGACCCAAACTACTTAGCATTCCCTTCTAGAGAGCTTGAAGAAAGGAAGAAGTACTTCTAACTTCCCCTTGTCTGACTGAGAAGTCCGAAGAACTATTCTCCTCTGAGGTCTCCCCAAACCATAAGGTCCACACAGTCTTTTCTACTATGTGTTGCAAACCTTGATCTAGGGAGCCCTTAATAGGACAATGTAACAAACCGTATCTTCATGTCTAGATCAGTAAATCTACAATACCTTTATTTGAACGGCATAAAACCAAAACAAAATAAAAACTGTTTAAGAGGACACAATCAGTAACCATTGGAAGAGCTGACTGAGGCAAGTGGTCATTTGAAGTCTTTAAATTAACATAAACTGAATATCTTCCTAAAATAAATGAGGTCTCAACTCTCAGGTGATTGTGAACCGGTCAAGGGGGGATGAGAACACTCACTCTTCTCTTTGGGGTAGATGTCAGGGGGTCCCAACACTTTTTTTCTTGTAGACATGGAATCATGCTGTGTTAATGGTTGAAAGCCACTGACCTAGTTCACAAAATACAACATCCATGTAAAAGAGAGGCTCTAGAACTAGAGCCTCAAGTTATTAGGACTGATAGCGTTCACTCATCTAGAAGGGAAAAATAATTTCCTGCGGGAATCTCTGATCTGTGTTACGCAGGAAGTCAGATTAGATGATCATAGTTGCCTTAAAAATAAATTAAACAAGTATAGCTAGGAGTAACAGGACGCAATTCAGGCTGAATTGGGAAAAACCTTTTGACCATGAGACCTATCAGACTGTGGAATAAGTTCATAGAATAGTGGTGGAAGAAGCTTGGAATATTCAGAATTAGACTCGCTAAAACAGGGCAGAAAATAGAATAGGGAACAATCCTGCACTAGTTCCAAGAGACAGACTTTTGGAATGTTTTTTATTGGCTATCAAGAATATGAGCTGAGGAAACAGGGATCAGAAATCACTTTGTTTTGAAGATCCAAGTTCAGCACAACAGAGAATAAATTAGATAATAACATAAAGCAGTCTTACCATGCTCGACAGCACAGCTCCCCATTTTCCCATCACAACCTGAGGACGTATCTGGTAGCGCATGAACAAATTCTGTCTTTAGCCCATTAGGAAGTGGAGTTTCATGGACTGTATTCTCGCACGGCCCAGAGTTCATCTTTTCTGAAACTGATCCAGGGGTTCCTGCCGATGGTGCATTTTCCAAGTTGGCTGCCAACGTGGAAACAGTCCCATTTGCCTGCAAGTCCAAAAATTCAGTCTTCGTAGGTAGGGTTTGAGCTATCAGTTTAGACTGTTTCACTGCATTGCCTTGCAGGTCACTGATATTCTCCTTCAGCCGGGTAGTGTTTTCTGCTGTTTTCTCTGGTAGATTTTCCACTCGTGTCACTACAAAGATTTTATGGCCTCGCCCAGGACTGGAAACAGAAATTCTCCTCTCATTTCCTTGAGAGTTAGCATGTGCCTGAGCCCCTGGTATAGTCCCTATGCTTCCCCCTCCTTTGGGCTCACACTTTGTTTCTTCAGCCATGTTTGAAGGGGCAGTTCTGTCCTCTGAGCTAAGTGCATCCCTTGTCTTTTCAGGAGAAAGAAATGTCTGGGGCACATTATCTACATGAACAGAATAATTTTGTTTCTGTGATTTACTGAGATCTTTAGTCTCTAACCCAGTGTCTACCTCATCATCTGTGTCAGAGTCTGAATATGTCACCCCATCTTTGTCACTGTTTATTGCCTTGTCTGTATGCCTGTTCTCTTTGGACACCAACATCTCCCCCACTTCATCTCCTTCAGGTGTTGCTGCTGTGCCATCACCTTGGCTGTTTTCCACAGGTCCCTCCTCAATCGGCTCGGTGATGGTGATCTCTGGCATAGAGGCAGATTGTTGAAGTTTCTGTTCTTTCTCCTCTTTCTCTTTGGCCAGAATAAAGTTGCGCTTGCAACCATTTTGGATTTCAGCTAAAAGAGCTTTCTGTGTTTCAATAAAACTCTTTACCTGCAAGAGGGAGAGAAACACTGCTGAAACTGCAGACAGTCTGAGATACAGCATATAGCATATTTACAGCTCTCTCGGCGTGACTCAATCTTGGTGCAGAAACCAATTTCTGCACCAAGGTTACGGGCTATCCAATTGTTTACGCAGAGAATATGGGAACAGCGATAAACCTTTAACTCCACTTGGGTGGGTAACCAACTAGTAAACTTCAGCAAACATCTATTGCAGTTATAAGAATAACCTGTCCATCTACTGTATTTGAATGTAATTGATTAAAAGCGAGGAGACTTTGTTAGCAAAGGCAATAGGTTCTGGCTTTAAAAGGTAGTAAAGCTTTCTCATTAAGTGACTACAATAAATAGCCTGTTTTGTTTTCCTGCCTTGATACAGGATGGAATGAGAAAATTACGTATTTGTAATTGCTGTTCTCCGAGGATGACTCCTTTTTCAATTGTAACACTTTGTTCAAGACCCAGTGCGATGGGAGGACCCCCACTCATCCCGATTTGGGGTCTGATTTGAGTGCCATCGCAATGCAAATACTAAAAAATAACAGGTCAAATCACTCTCATAGGTATAGAAAGGACTGACTCAACTCTATGGAATGACTGGTGGGCAAGTGATGTCATGGGTATCTTTAGAGAACAATTATTACCAGTAAGTAACTATCATTTTTCTAAAGATACATTGACAAACACCACACTGTTGGAAGCATAGGCAAGGTTAACGCATCTTAAAATAGCCAAAATTAACATTTTTAAAAGGTATAAAAAGGTATACATCGAGGTTTTGAAGGATATAGTTATACTGAGACTTCGCTAAGAAGGTATTCCAAAAACGCAGTAAAAAATAGTAAGAGATCAGAGACTAGATGCCCCTAGCTCAGAAAAATTCTAACAGATCACATTTTGATTCCTATCTAGAGGCCTAATCATGTTCTATGGCCTGCACTATACAGGAGGTCACAACGGTCCCTTAGAGTCTATGAACCAAAACAATGGTGTTTGTTGAATGCATTCAACAAATTCCCCTGTGGCTGCCTTGAAAATCTCCTGGATGGGAACAGATCAAGTCTGCTGAAGCAGACTTTTGCCATACACAATGAGCCTCAAAATGACCTTACAGTGAGAGAGAGTGTCGCAGCCAATTAGATACATGGCTTTCTCAGAGAGCAGAAACTACAGAGTTAGCATTAAGTGAGAAAAAGCTTGGTGGATTGTCTGAGTAGATAAGAATCCAAAGGACCTTTTTACAGCTTGTGAAGAGGAGAATCACCTGGACAGGTACACTGATATGGGAAAACACTGGCAGAATCATTGACTGATTAACTCCATTACCATGATATGACCCACTGGAAGATGTGCAGTCATCAGAGTCTACACCAAGCTCATTTGCTGTGTGAGCAGAGTCAATGCCACTAGGAAAATGACTCTGCATATTAGAAGCCTAAGCTGAAAGGCATCAAGTGACTCAAAAGGAGCTGTCAACAGCTTAGTTAGGACCCCATTAATATGCCATGACATATTATGTGACATGACATTGGGAGCTTTCTAATGGGAGGTTTCAAAGTAACAAGCCCCTGATGAATGTGACAAAAGACTGGTCTACCTTCAACATGTTGCTATGGCAGATGAGATAGCCAGGCACAATGACCCAGGGGAGTACCTCTGCCTATCAAAAAAGACACCCAGAAGTTTATATCTCTGCTAGACCCGGCACTGAGTTTGGGAGGTTCCTGCTTTGGTTGTTTATAGGTTGTTTATGGGCTCGGTTGTGGTGGGTAGCTTGAGAGAGGGAATGAATATTCTCGGATACGTAATTCAATCTAGAACCACACAAAGTTCATATGCACAAAAAATGCAGTGCAACTTACAGACTCCTTTTTCGGCTCCCTGTCTAAGTCCAACCTGAGCAGAGAATGATTGACCTTCAGCGCCAAGGACAATGCCATCAGACCCCCTGTTTTAATCTCATTCTCCCGCAGGTCTAGTCGAAGGAGCCTTGGACTCTCTGCAATGAATTCTGCTACCGCCACAGCACCTGCAGGGGAAGAAAGACCACCGATGATGAACCATGACAATGGAAAAGAAAAAGAAACCAGCCCACAACATGCTCCCCATAAACAACAAGGAAAGATTCTTACTGGTGTACTTCAGACAAGACATAGTGAGATGGGACCCATTTCTCATTACAGAATTTTGTCCAGATTCTTGCTATTGTAACAATCTGCTCTACAAAAATCTAAGTGTTAACTCTATTTGTTTTCAATGAATTGAAAATACAACTTCCTGGTCACCCATAAATAAAAGACCCCAAGGCACTTTCTGCCAAGTAAGGGTGTTAGCAAGCACGTATGCTCTGGCTGTATTTCAATTTTATAATGCCGTTTTGCCTTCCTACATTCCACCAATTGCTACAGTTTGGAGATGGTATTCTTCACTTCCTGTTATAAACCCAGGTGTTCTTTTATGCATTGTTAAGCAGATGTTTTCTAAACCAAAAGTACCTGCATTTCAGAGGGGACTCAAGTGCTTCCTGTATATAAGGTTTATATAGAGTGGGATCCTTTAAGATGAAAGAAACTGTATAAATCTAACATAGCAACCGACAATTTTCAGATTCCCATTGAAGTACAGTTTGGAAAACTCATTCATACATACCAGTAAGTTATTACATGGATTCCAAAACATCTAGATGCTTCATAAGCAAATAGATTGTAGGGTCTTTGTGGAAGGGATTGTGTCTTCTAAGACTTTAAGAAGAGGTTACTCACCTGTGCAGTAACTGTGGTTCTTTGAGATGTGTCCCCCTATGGGTGCTCCACTCTTGGTGTGCATGTGCCCTTGATCAGAGATTTTCCTTAGCGGTGTCCGTTTGGCCCGCACATGCGCCACTGGTATCCTCGTGCCCTGCACCAAGGCTATGTTATGCAGTATGGGTGAATTGCCCTCTCAGTTCCTTCTGTACCACCATATCTCAGAAGAAACTCCAAAGCAGAGAAAGAGAGGGCCGGTAGTGGAGCACTCATAGGGACACACATCTCAAAGAACCACAGTTACTGTACGGGGTGAGTAATCACTTCTTCTTCAAGTAGTGTCCTTATGGGTGCTCCAGTCTTGGTGACTTCCAAGCAGTATCCCCAGTAGGAGGAGGGGGCTTCAGAATGGAGTCCATCACAGACGAGAGATCTGCATGGCCAACTGCAGCATCAGACCTGGAGGCATCCACCAAGGCACAGTGTCTAAAGAAAGCATGTACCGAAGACCATGTAGCGGCTCTGCAGATTTCTGGAATGGGAACATTTTTAAGGAGAGCTATAGATATAGATTGTGATCTGGTCGAGTATGCCAAAATGCTGGTAGGGGGTGGAATGTCAATAGCCTGGCAGTAAGCTATGAAACACTTGGAAAGACATTCCGAGAGTCTCTGGGTAGAAATGGTGGAACCCTTAGATTTGTCTGCAATTAAAAGAAATAGTCTATTGGATTTACAGAATGGTTTAGTTCTATCCAAACAGAGGGATAACGCCCTCTTGACATCTAGAGTGTCGAGAATTGTCTTCTGGTTGGAAGCATGCAGTTTGGGGAAGAAAACCAGCAGGTATATGGTCTGATTCAGGTGAAATTCAAAAATCACTTTAGGGAGAAACCTGGGATGCAGCCATAAGGACACCTTATCGTTGAGAAAGGGGGATCTGCCATTAAAACCCCAACCTCTCCGACTTTGCGGGCTGAGGAATTGCCACTAGGAAGGCTGTTTTCTTGATGAATTAAATGGCCATTGGTTCAAACTGGGGCTTTGTGAGGCTTTTGAGAACCAAATTCAGGTCCAAAACAGAAGTAGGAACCCTTACCTATGGGAGCAGATTCCCTAAGCCTTTCATAAATCTTGTGGCTGTGGGGTGAGCAAACAAAGAGAAACCTTCAATAGTAGTATAAAAGGCTGTTAGGGCAGCCAGGTGAACTTTGATGGAATTGAGGGACAATTTCTTAAGCTGCAACAGGTACTCCAGAATGAGAGGAACTGGGGCAGATTCAGAAGGAGTACTGTGGAGTTCATACCAGTGGCCAAATCTTGTCCAGTTCTGGAGGTAAGTTCTGGTGGAAACGTTTCTACTATTTAATAGCACATGTTGTACCTCCACAGATCAAGAGGACTCTAGCCCGAAGAACCATTCAGGGACCATGACTTGAGGCAAAGAATGCCCAAACTGGGATGTGTCAGGGGTCCGACATCCTGAGAGAGGAATTAAGAGACAGTGAAACAGTAAGGGAAAGTGCTTGTCTCAACCACATAAGGGCTATCAGAATGACTCTGGCCTTGTTCTGCTTGATCTTATCACCTTGAGAATGAGAGGCATCAGAGGGAAAGCATAAAACAGTTGTGGCTAGATGTTTGGCTGCGCGTGTGTTCTCCCTGTGTGCTGCCCCAGCTCTGCGCAGACTTGAATGAACCGCCCAATGACCACAAGATTTGTTAAGGTACGAAGGCGCCAGGTCAGGTTTATTGTCGACAAAGCACAGTAATAGCACCTGGCAGACTTTACGAAGATACTAAGACATGTATGCCTGTGACAATGGACGCAGCTTAGAGAATGGCAGGACTTTCCATTCCCCCCTTGGCTGGACAAAGATACTCCCTCTGAGATACATTTTTAAACCCTTATACAAAAAAGTTAGTACTGGCTCTGACATAGTCACTTCCCCCTGACGTTGCTAGTTATTATCTTGAACATATTGGTTTGATCAAAACATTTTTATTACGTACAGTTATCCTAACCTTATCTTTTAGGATGGGTCAGTGTGTTCCTGTTATCCTTAGGGAATGTTTTTGTACCATACTTGATATTGGGGCATTCTGGTACCACTTGATATTGAGATGTGTTTATGTAAGTACTCTGTGCTTAGCACTTCTTAGGAATGTGTATTTCTGCAGTATCAGCCCTGTTCTTGCCAGATTCTGTGAGCAGATCCTGCCTCATACCAGGCCTTTGATACAAGGGCTTATGTCTCAGACTCTCTTCCTACTACAACAGTGTGTCCATCCAAGGCAAGAGGAACGTGTCCCCCAGTGAATTGCAACCTAAACAGCCCGCCCCCCCACACACCTTGGACAAAATAGGTAGCATTTTTTGTTTGTGGGTGTGGCAAAAAGGTCTACTTCTGGAAAACCCTCAAGTCTGAAAGATTCCAAGTAGGACCCGAGAATCAAACTCTCACGTGTATTCTTGGGGCAACACCTGCAGAGTGTGTTGGCCGTGGTATTCTGTATGCTGGGCAGATACATTGCTGAGATCCTTATGTGATGCTTTATGCACCAATTCCACAACTTTATTGTTTTGGCACAATCTTGCCCCTCTTTGCCAATTGATTCATGCAGGCCACATTGTCTGTCCTGACTTTGATGGACCTGTGTCTGATGAGAGGAAGGAAATGAAGACAGGCATTTCTGACCATTCTGAACTCCAAGAGGTTGATATGAAGGGTTGTCTCTTGTGGTCAGACCATCTGTTTTATTGGAATCAAAAGGTTTATTTGTGAGTTGTTTTAACAGCCCCCCTTATTTGCCATCTCAATATTTGGTGTGAAGAAGCTATCACCACTTCTCCGGTAGAACCCCTCAGGTGCTGCTTAGCCATCCTGTAGGAGGAAACAACTCCAGAAATTCCATGGGAGAGGATAGTGGTTGATGTGGAGGGAACGGGGGGAGCAGTGAGGTTAAAAGGGGTGCAAGAGAGTCCAAAGAAAAATCAAAAAAAATCTGAGGCCTCCAATAAGGACTAATTAAGGTAATCTGAGGGCACCAATTCTAGTTACGTAATCTTAGCCAAGAGCTTCACTGAAGGTGAGCAGTGCTAATAGCCCCATCCGACTGACTAAGGTACAGAGAGACAGAACAATTTGTTGGTGGGGCACTATGCACAAGACATTCCCCAAGAAGTCGACGAGAGGTTTCACCGAATAAAGGTTGTAAAGTCCAGAAAATTAAGGCAATTCGGTGAAGGAGGGTAAATGGAAGTCAGGACCTCCTAGGTCCCAGGCTCAGACTCATTCTCTCCAGCCAACACAGCGCTTCCCCAACCAGGGAGCTCTTGCATCTCTTTTGCCAGATTCCTTGGATTTCCCAAAACATTTGTTTGGCTCAAAGAACTGCTGGCTGGGCTGCAGCTGTTTAAAGAACTAGGAATCCCACTATGCAATCAAATAGTTCAAGGTGATAGTCTAATGCCTCCAGTGTTAACGTCGTATTTTAAAATTAATGGAACTTCAGACTGTATGTGGTGGAGAAAACATGCAAATTAATATTGGTTAGTGTTATTAGCAAAACAAGCACTATACCTCAAGGACGATATACCCGCCAAATTTCTAGGTCAAAGGAATTCAGGAAATTTTGTTCTATCCTCCCAAATAAAAACACATCATAATTTTTTTTTTTTTTAAACAGTTGAAATACTGTATTTTCCCCACACTCTCCTACCTTGCACATGACTGGAAGGACTTCAGTCAAATTTCCAAACCATCACCAAGATTCACAGACCAGTACAAGAGAGTTAGGAAAGTTTTGAGCACTTGAAACCAAGGGGTTATATATATATATATATATATATATATAAAATGGAAATTGCTTTGCAGTCATAAAAGTGACTAGTAAAGACAAAACGTTGCATTTGGACACACAGAATGCCTGAAAAAGTCCCCTCCAATCCAAAGAAAGTTTTTTTTCTGGTTGTTTTCTCCCCCCATAAAGCTTCAGGTCCTAGCTTAGTCGAAAGACTCTATGGTGAATGGGGAACTTGTACAATACATACATCAAGAATATGAAAAGGCAGACCAATTGAAAGTCTCTGGGTAAAGATAAAAGGGGAAAAAATAAGCATGACATCATTGTAGAGGGTCTACTACAGACCATCAAACCAGGAAGAGGAGGTGGAGGAGGCATTGCTAGTACATAAGGGAAAATTCCCACTTCGTCACACCTGGGTCTGGTACTATTCAAAATTCTCATTAATTATTTAGACAATGGAGTGAAGAGTATGTGTATAAAATCTGTGGATGACATCAAGCTGAGAGGGGTTTCAAGTACTTTGGGGGACGGGATCAGAATTCAAAAAACTTGACAAATAGGAGAACTGGTCTGAAATCAACAAGGTGAAATTCTGCAAAGACAAGTGCAAAGAGGGGTGAACAGTGAGGTGGCAAAATCTGCACACAATACAAAATTACTCAGGACAGTTAAGTCCAAAGCAGACTGTGAGGAGTTACAAAGGCATCTCACCAGATTGGGTGACAAAAGGACAGATAAAACTCAATGTTGATAAGTGCAAAGTAATTCACAATGGAAAAAATATTCCCAACTGTACATACAAAATGGGGGGGGGGGGTCCTAAATTGGCTGCTACCATTCAAAAATAAAAGTCATGGAATCATTGTTGACAGTTCTCTGAAAATATCCGCTCAATGTGCAGCAGAAGTCCAAAAAGCTAACAATTTTAGGAACCATTAGGAAAGGGATAGATAGTAAAACAAAATATCATAATGCCACTACCTGATACACCCATACCTTGAATACTGCATGCATAGTTCCAGTCACCCGATCTCAAAAAAGATATTTTAAAAATTGAAAAAGGTGCAGAGAAGGGCAACAAAAATTGAGTAGGGGTATGGAACAACTTCTGTATGGGGAGAGATTAAAAAGACTGGGACTGTTCAGTTTACAAAAGAGATGATGAAGGGGGGATAGGATAGAGGTCTATAAAATCATGAATAGTGTGGAGAAAGGGAATAGGGAAGTGTAATTTATACTAAGGGTCACTCAATGAAATTAATAGGCAGCAGGTTTAAAACAAACATAAAGAGGTATTTCTTCACACAACTCAGAATCAACCTGTGAACTCATTGCCTGGGGATGTTGTGAAGGCCAAAACTATAACTGTGTTCAAAAAAGAATTAGGTAAGTTCATGGAGGACAGGTCCATCAATGGCTACTAGCAGAGATGGTCAGGGAAGCAACCCCATGCTCCAGGTGTCCCTAAACCTCTAACTGCCCGAAGCTCATACTGGATGATGGGATGGATCACTTGAATTTGCCCTGTTCTGTTCATGTCCCCTGACGCACCTGACACTGGCCACTATCAGAGACAGGTTCCTGGGCTAGATGGACCACTGGTCTGACAGTATGGCCATTTTTATGTTCTTATCAAGTATTACATTTAGGAAGGAAAACATCAGATGCACAACTACAAAATGGGGAATAACTGGCTTAGTGGCAGTACATCTCAGAAGGATTTGGGGGTTACAGTGGATCACAAATTGAATATGAGCCAGCAATGTGATATAGTTGCTAAAAAGACCAATATAATTCTAGGGTATATTAACAGGAGTCTCATGTGTAAGGCACAGGAGGTAACTGTCCTGCTCTACTTGGCACTGGTGAGGCCTCACCTAGAGAACTGTGCCACACTTTAGCAATTGGAAAGTCCAGGGGAGAGCAACAAAAACGACAAAAGATTTAGAAAACCTGACCTATGAAGAAAGATAAAAAATACCTGGCATGTTTACTCTTGACAAGGACACTGGACTTCAGAAAGGCAGATTTCAACCAACTCAAAGAAGTAATAGGCAAGGTCCCATGGAAAGACCAATTGGAAGAAAAGGAGTCAAAGGGGGCTGGTAGTTTCTAAAAGATGTAAGACTAGAGGCTCAACATCATGCTGTTCTGATGCAGAGGAAAGATAAGACCCACAGGAGGCCAATGTGGCTGCACAAAGAGCTTTTTAGCGATCTAAAAACCAAAAAGGATACATACAGGAAATGGAAGGAAGGACATGTCACCAAGGAAGTATACATGGGAATAGTGAGAGCATGTATGGACAAAATCAAGAAAGCTAAGGCAAAGAATGAGGTACAGCTGGCAAGGAATGTTAGAGACAACACCAAGGGGTTTTACAAATATGTCCGACAAACAGAAAAGACCAGGGATGGTGCGGGCCCACTGCTCAATGGAGAAGGTGAGCTGCTAACGGAAGAGGATCAGAAGGCAGAGCTGCTCAATGCCTACTTTGCTTCAGTCTTCTCACAATAAAATAACACGTGATTGGACGATTAGAGAAGTTAACATAGGAATGGTTTAGATTTACTTGGCCCTGCCTCAGGGCAGGGAGCTGGACTTGATGGCCTCTCTAGGTCCCTTCCAGCCCCTACAGGTCTATGATGTTACATCACATCACACCACATGTCTACATGTCACAGGCAAGGTCAGCTCCCAGACTGCTGCACTGGGCAGCACAGTATGGGGAGGAGGTGAGCAGCCCTCAGTGGTGAAAGAACAGGTTAAGGACTATCTAGAAAAGCTGGACATGCACAAGTCCATGGATGTAATGTATCCAAGGGTGCTGAGGGAGTTGGCTGATGTGATTGCAAAGACATTGGCCATTATCTTTGAAACTTCATGGCGATTGGGGGAGGGCCTGGATGATTGGAAAAAGACAAATATAGTGCCCATCTTTAAAAAAGGGAAGAAGAAGAATCTGGGGAACTACAGACCGGTCAGTCCCTGGAAAATCATGAAGCAGGTCCTCAAGGAATCCATTTTGAAGCACCTGGAGGAGAGGACGGTGATCAGGAACAGTCAACATGGATTCATCAAGGGCAAGTCCTGCCTGACCAACCTGATTGCCTTTTATGATGAGATAACTGGCTCTGTGGATATGGTGAAAGCAGTGGACGTGATATATCTTGACTTCAGCAAACCTTTTGATACGGTCTCCCACAGTATTCTTGCCAGCAAGTTAAAGAACTATGGATTGGATGAATGGACCATAAGGTGGATAGAAAGCTGGCTAGATCGTCAGGTTCAACGGTTAGTGATCAACGGCTCGATGTCTAGTTGGCAGCCAGTATCAAGCGGAGTGCCCCAGGGGTCGGTCCTGGGGCCAGTTTTGTTCAACATCTTCATTAATGTTCTGGATGATGGGATGGATTGCACCCTCAGCAAGTTCGCGGCTGACACTAAGCTGTGGGGAGAGATAGATATGCTGGAGGGTAGGGATAGGGTCCAGAGTGACCTAGACAAATTGGAGGATTGGGACAAAAGTAATCAGAGGAGGTTCAACAAGGACAAGTGCAGAGTTCTGCACTTAGGATGGAAAAATCCCATGCACTGCTACAGGCTGGGGACCAACTGGCTAAGCGGCAGTTCTGTAGAAAAGGACCTGGAGATTACAGTAGATGAGAAGCTGGATATGAGTCAACAGTGTGCCCTTGTTGCCAAGAAGGTTAGGGCTACATTAGTAGGAGCATTGCCAGCAGATCGAGGGAAGTGATTATTCCCCTCTATTCGGCACTGATGAGGCCACAGCTGGAGTACTGCATCCAGTTTTGGGGCACTCACTACAGAAAGGATGTGAATAAATTGGAAAGAGTCCAGAGGAGGGCAACAAAAATTATTAGGGGGCTGGGGCACATAATTTATGAGGAGAGGCTGAGGGAACTGGGCTTATTTAGTCTGCAGAAGAGAAGAGTGAGGGGGGGATTTGACAGCAGTCTTCAATTACCTGAAGGAGGGTTCCAAAGAGGATGGAGCTCGGCTGTTCTCAGTGATGGCAGATGACAGAACAAGGAGCAATGGTCTCAAGTTGCAATGGGGGAAGTCTACATCAGATATTAGGAAACACTAGGGAGGTGGTGGATTCTCCATCTTTAGAGATTTTTAAGGTCCGGCTTGACAAAGCACTGGCTGGGATGATTTAGTTGGGGTTGGTCCTGCTTTCAGCAGGGGGTTGGACTAGATGACCTCCTGAATCTTCTATGATTCTATGATCCTAGGATATCACAAGAGCCAAGAGTGACATTATTCCTGTAACTGTCATTGTTAACTGCATTCTCAGTAATGACAAAAGGGTTGGGGGCTTCAATGATTGATAATCCTGAAAGTAACGCTCCCTCAAGATACGGAAAGTCTGTTTTACCCTCGCATGTTAGTTTAGTAGAAGCCAAGCCTAATCGGAGCACAGAGCGGTTTCCAATGAGTCCATTCTTCAGATTACGAACACCTTCATTCCCAATGGGATTGTGACCAAGGTTCAGGGTCTCCAAACTCTGCGTATGAGGCTGTGGACACAAGCAGAAAAAGAAGGTGAAAGAAGTACGTCACACTAGAATGTCAGCGCAAAAAAGTCATGACCCGCACCCACATCAACACCTACCAACCACAGCGAAATAACTGACTCTCTCAGGCCCTTCCAAGTTCAAAATGGGAATTTCTTAGGGAGGCCCTACGGAATACCACTGATTTCCAGAGCTGCTAGTTTTACAGACACTACTGTTTTGTCCAGGTTTTTTATTTTTCAATCCCCACAGAGCAAAGGTGCCCTTTGGTTACTGAGCTGGTGAAATTGACATTGGCCTGGCAGAGCGCACATGTGCCTCAGCAACCAATCCATTCCTTCAGCCTGTCACAGGCTGACTCCCTCCCCTACCTACATCCTCTGCATTAGTGCTGGAGCCTGCCCTTCCAGCATGTCCTGTCTAGGCTTGTGCTGCCACGGGAAGTCTACAAGTAACTTAGCCACACCACAACTACCTGCCGATGGCTACTGACCCAGCCTAGGCTGGCAGCCATAGTTCTCACCTTCCCTGCGTCAGAGGTGGGCACTGGATCTCCACTGTGAGGAGTGGGTAGAAAGGAGAGTCAATAAGGGTTGCAGAGGAGTGAGGGGAGATGGTAGGAGAGAAGGAGGCAAAAAGACAGGAAGGACAAGCAGAGGAGAAGGGAAAATGAGAGAAATTACTAGCAGAGAGAAAACATAAGAAAAGATAACCCAGGTGGGCAGGAAAAGAGAATGCGAAAAGGTGGGGCTCAGAGCAGGAAGCGCTAGGGGGGAGGGATATCTCAGTGGTTTGAGCATTGGCCTGCTAAACCCAGGGTTGTGAGTTCAATCCTTGAGGGGGCCACTTAGGAATCTGGGGCAAAATCAGTACTTGGTCCTGCAAGTGAAGGCAGGGGGCTGGACTTGATGACTTTTCGGGGTCCCTTCCAGTTCTATGAGATAGGAATATCTTCATATATTATTATTAGGCCTGCTGCTACTAAGGAGAACATACCAACAGGGTTGGGGTGATTAGCAGAGGACATATAGCAGCTAAATAGCGCTCTCTCATCCTGCCTTTTACTGTAACAGGTCCTGTTTTTCATCCTCCTTGTATTCCTGATCCCTTGCAAATGCTGCCTCTCCAGTCTGACAGATGTCCTTTTCCTCTGAAAGGCTGCTTGCCCTGACCCCTCCAATATGCTGCATTAATTCTCTTCATTTCTATGCAACAGAAATGCACGTCATGCCGTTGCACAAGAACATTGCATCCACCCACTCTGCAAGCATTACATTGTCAGTGGCTTGATTGAGCTATTGCAGAACATTTATGCCTAGCTCTAGAACACACATCTATAAGAAAAGCAAACTGGACTGTTTATATCTTCCTCTCCTCTCCATAGGCTCCCAGTTTAGACCTCAAACTACTCTCTAAAGGAGGTTCATTCAAAAGCCGTTAATCTTCTCCCCCTGAAATCTACTCACCAGTGTCATCCCCATATAAGCCATGCCAGTGTGAGTCAGCTGGTTATTCCACAAAACCAGAGTGATCAGCCCTTTCCGTTGCTCCTTTAGGCCCTCACAGATGTATGCCAAGCCTATAAAACAGTATGAGTTAGAGTGGATTTATTCGGTTGCTTTCAGCATTTATACAGGCCAGCACTTCAACAGTCATGCTGCCAGCACAGTCTGATGTGAACACACAGATACGGTAGGCTTTAACAGCACTTTTCTTGTCTTATCTAATCCCTTCTTTTGCACAGGCTTTGAATGCTGCAGTCAGTAAACCACAAAATAGAATTTCACATACTGTGCTGGATCAGAAGAACGTTACGGGCAACAGCCTGCAGACATGTCTCATTTATTTTAAAGCAGCAAGGTGGATACACTGAAAATTTCTCTCAATACAGAATTATTTAAAAAAATAAAATCTTTATCCTCTCATGAGAGAGAGAAATTACTTAAACAGAGACATCCAAAAGCCAAATTCTGATTATCGTGTATTAATTTAAATAGTAGGTTTTTAAAGTAGGTTGTGATTGATATTAGGACAGAGCAGAATGTAAGTACAGTAGAGAACATTTCTGGTATAGCTTTATAAAAAGATACAAAATCACTAATTTCTTCATTAACAGTCATTGAATTGGCAGTAAGTCTTTTACCATCCAGCAAGGGCTGGATACCCCCCACCTCCCCGCCACAATTCCTCCAATTCACGGGGGGGGGTGGGGGGTGGCGGAAAGAGTAGGCACCCTAAAGCCAGCCCCAACTCAGAGAGTCCTAGAGGCTGTGTGTGGGGGGGTGCACCTCCAGGGCTCCCTGCCCCAGCCCCACACCCTGCAGGAGGCGCAAGCTCCAGCCCCTGCCTGGGCCCATTCACTAGGGCCTGCCCATGACTGGGGAAATGGTGAGCCATGGTGGGGGAGTGTTTGGAGGTGGGGATTGGGCCATGAAGGGGAGGGGGGTTGGAGAAGTGGTTTGGCAGGGTGATGTTTTATGGGAGCGTTTATTTGGGGGGCTGTGCGACGGGGGTGGCTTTATCTGGGGAAGGTGGGTTGGTGTGGTGGGGAGGAGCCTGTGGCGAGAGGAGGTTTTGTGGGGTTTGGGTTTATTTGGGGGGATGCGGTACCAAGGGGCTGGATGGGTTTAAGCAGGGGTGGGTTAGGGTTTAGCTATGGCAGGAGGTTGAGTGGGGGACTGGGAGCACAGGGAGCTGTATGGGAATGTCAGTGGGTGCAGTTAGCTGTGCCTATATCTGGCTCCTTCCTCCACAGCCCCGTTTCCCCTTTCTTCTCCTCCCGCTGTCTCGCTCCCCTCACGCCCCCTCTCATGCCACCAGCCCCAGCTCTGCTTGAAAACACTGGGGAGGGACAGGCTGGCCACCACTGCACCAAAGTCACCTCACAACTGGGCTCCAGGGACTCTCCTGCAGCACCAAGCCGGCCCCAGTGCTGCTGGAGGCAGGGCTTTGCCTGCCAAGCCAGGCTTTGCACACTGGCAGTGGGGTGGCTCCAATTTCAGAAGGCTGAGCCCTCTCTAGCCCTAAATAATCGCCGCCTATGGTGAGCCCTCTAGAGAGCCTCGCCTTGAGCTGCCTGGGTCCCCAGCCTCATCCTCCTTTGCCACCCCCACCCCAGCTCACAATGCCTCTCACTGAAGTGTGACCTGGCCATCCGTCTGTCATGATGGAGAGACACCCCGGGCCAAATTACAGTGACTGGTGTTGCCAAAAAGTTGTGATTGTTGCAGTTTCCACAACAAAAATTGTGGCCCACGATTTTCTTACAGCCCTACTCATAACGTGTCCTTATATACAGCCGGAGACCCACTCAGATAATTTTGAAGAGGAAATGAGTTACTGCAAAGACCACAACAATTGGGGTGGGTATCTGAATGTTCTGTCCTGTCACAGGTGTGGAGTTTAGCCTCCTCAGAAGTCGAGTCAAGCTTGGGGAAGAAAACTAGGAGATGAATCAAATGGTACACATGGAACTCAAACAACTGCAAGAACTTGAGATGAGGCCTGAGAATGACCCTGTCCTTATGAAACACTGCATAAAGGGGACCCACCACAAAGGACTGGCTCTCCCCTACTCTTTGAGCGGATGGAATGGCTACCAGAAAGGCAGTCTCCAGAAATAAACTGTATAGGAACAGGTTGCCAAGGGCTCAACCCTGCTAATACTACACTGGAGGTTGCAAGAGGCTCCTCAACTGCAGGGTAAAACCATGAATAAGGCCTTTAAAGAAACCTTACCATTGTATGATGGGAAAATAGAGCAAGGCCCTGGATAGGATGGTGATGTGCAGATATTGATTCTAGCTGGACCCTTATGGGGCTGAAGGGTGGAGGGCTAGGAAGAGAAGAGCTCCCTCTGGAGGTTCTACCAGGCTCTCGACACCAGGAACATGCCAAGCCTGCTGCCTGGTGGAAGACGCATATTGTACATTAACAGAGGAAGAGGATTGTCATCACTAGAACATCTACCCCTTTCTCAGAAACTTCGAGGTTGGTAACAGTATTGGGCAGAGGAATGCTGCCTGAAGGAAGCCTGTGGTCTCACTTACTTGGTCCTTGGTCCTGGAATATGGGGGCCCAGGGAGCACCGAGTAGTCCGAGAATCCTTTAAGGAATCAAAGGCCCCACCTATCTTTCAATTCAATCTCGTTGACCTAAAAAGGAAGGTCCTCAATTTGCTGTTTGGACCTTATTGGGAATTTGTGAGGATTGAAACCAGGAAGATCTTCTCACAGCCACCAAGGCAGCCAAGGTGTGCATCCAGTATAGCCTATAGGGATGTGTGGGCTATCAGACACAATAGTCTATCTCCTCTTACTATTTGTGGGGTACCCCATCCACATATTGAGACAGTTTGTTTCAACTGAAATAATAGTATTTGACAGAAGTGCTTGGTAATAAGCCATGTGGAGGCTGGAGGCTGGCAGATGAATATACTTTGCATTGACAGGTCTAACTCTGAAACGGTTGTTTATTCTCCAGAAATACTGATAAGATTCACAAGTGTGTGTTCAAATGTACATGTGTAGAAGTTGGAAAGCTCCTACACTAAGGCAGTGTTCAGATACAGGGGTCTGGAAAAAAAATAAATCACAAGGACATTATTTTTCTATTGTGAAACCTCAAGCTGTCTGTCTTATTCCACTCCCACACTTTGGAAAAATCTGTTTAACAAAAATATATTGCATGCTTACATTAGCTACAGAAAGATGTAGGCCTACAATTCCTTCACCTTAACAGTTGGAGTGCAGTCCCGTGGTGCGTGGTCACAACAGGCCTGGTAATGGAACATTAGCTGCAGCCTTACATAGAGTCACACCCAGCAACTCCGTAATGACATGCAACCCAAACTAATTAAATCGAAGCTACAGAGAAGGAGCTCCAGACTTCAGGGATTCCAAACACCAGTGAGTCACAAAGAACTGTAGGTGGAACTTGTAAATCCCATAATAGGAAATATTTCGCTTTGAAACCTTTTGAATACAACAGCTCTTGACTGAGGCCACCAGAGCCTCGCTTCCCCTGCCTATAGGCATTATTAGCCCCATTCCACAGATGGCTTTACAAACAGGTAGGTAAAGGGACTTTCCTGGAGGGTCCAGTGGATAAAATGTACGTCCATGACAGGCGCTCTGGATTCTAATCCCAGTGCTGACACAGGTATCCAATAGGACTTTTGGCAAGAGGCTTAATGCATGTGTAATATGGAGAATACCTGCTGATGGCACACGTTTACCAAATATTGTTTGCTCAGTGAAGCATATTAATAAGGCCAATTAGGGGAAGAGTTCGCAGCAGATGTCGTTAAGGATGCCAAGAATCAGGGCAGGAAATTCAGACACTTAAGGTTACTTCAACAACATTAACTCAGAAATAATAAAATAGACTAAGGCCTGGTCCACACTACCCCCCCACTTCGGACTAAGGTACGCAAATTCAGCTACGTTAATAACGTAGCTGAATTCGAAGTACCTTAGTCCGAACTTAGCGCAGGTCCAGACGCTGCAGGCAGGCTCCCTCGTTGATGCCGCGTACTGCTCTCGCTGAGCTGGAGTACCGGCGTCGACGGCGAGCACTTCCGGGATCGATTTATCGCGTCTAGATAAGCCGCGATAAATCGATTCCAGAACATTGATTGCCTGCCGTCGGACCCGGAGGTAAGTGTAGACGTACCCTGAGTGTCCAAACTTATGATAGGTACCTCAGCTGACCAAGAAGATAGTAACCAAACATACTACAGGCCTGCACAAAGGCTGAGCTAACACTGAACTGAAAACACTAAATTTTGTATTGACATTTGTTTCTGTTTTTAATTTCACCCATATTTTTTTCTTTTGAAAAGGAGAAAAAGAGTAAAAGACACTGAGAAATCTCTAGGAGAGGTGAGGCACCTTAGGGACCCTATCCTGAAAAGTGTCAAGCAGCCACAGCTCTTACTAACTTCAGTAGGAATTGTGGGCATGCGACATCTCATGATCGGCCCCTTCAAGTGATTTAAGGTGCCTTAACTGGGTCTGAGCAGCTTAAGTTGCTCTAAGCACTTAGAGAGACATAGGCCACGTCTACACTAGCAAGTTTAAAGCGGCACAGCCGTGCTGCTGTAAGATCACTCGTGTAGCCGCTCTATGCATAGAGGAGAGAGCTCCCGTCGACATAATAAAGCCATCTAAATGAGCGGTGGTAGCTATGTTGGCGGGAGAGCATCTCTCACCGATAGAAGTGCTCGTGTGCACAGTGCTTATGCCAGCAAAACTCGTCACTCAGGGATATGTTTTTTCACACCCCTGAGCGACGCAAGTTTTGCCGACATAAGTGGTAGCGTAGACATGGTCTTACGCTGCTATCATTCTTTAAAAATGCTTCAACTGCTTTTTAAAAAACCCTCTCATTTCAACTCTCCATTTGAGATCAGATTTGGAAATTGTTCAGCCCCCACCACGACTTTCCCTTTGACAGCAGAAGCTGCCTGCTGCTCTGTTGGGCCGGGCTCCTCGGAAAAGTGCAGGAAGAGTTCCAGCGAGCCAGCCTCTTACTACCTCTCCGTCAAGGTGTTCCCGCAGCCCTAGGCCTTTGTCCTCTTGCTCAAAATCGCCTCAAGCTACCTCCTTGCCTGGTGGAAAGAGGAGATGGTACTTCCAGAGACAGAATTTCAGTCTAACAGGTTGGACTCTTCCTTCCAACCTGCTGGTGCTGCTCAGTTCCCGAATGGGGCTTTTGTGGTTTTACCAAGAAGTGTCTCAGAGATAAGAGCAGCATCAGCTGTCCCTGTGTTCCCAAAGAAAGTGGAGGCTGGGGACTCTAACTCGCCATATTCCACCTCACGTTAAAGAGTACAAATTAATTTATTCATTGTTTAAAGTCTGAGGATTTACTAGACATTCACGGTCTTTATTAAGACATTACGTTGTGGGGGGGAGGGAGGAAACAGTCACTCTTTAAAAGAAAGACAAGTAAAAATATTCAGAATGAGAAAGGAATGACGGCTTAGCTTGCTTTTAAAGGGCAAATTTTCCAACCTGGGTTGGAGTGCAACATGGGATCCAATAAGATTTTAGGTTTTCAGCTGAGAACATTTAAAATGTAGTTCTCGCTCTGACAAAATTTCTCAGAGAAACGAAGTACGAAGACTAAGGAGGATCTCCCACCTGAATCTAGGATGTGGTTGTTCCTCAGGTCCAATATGTGTATGTAACAGTTAAATTTCAGCAGGTTGCCAAGCTGAGCAGAGTCCTGCAATCCATTCAGTTTATTATCGGCTAGATACAGCTCCCGTAGGTTCATGTTCATTTTCAGAGCCGTTGCTAAAAAGCAAAGAACAGAGAATTACACTTCAGCTAACATGTAATAGCTACAGAACAAAAGACCACAGAGAGCAGGGCACCGGTCTGTAGACCCACAAGACACCTTGGAACAGCATGTAACCAAAGGAGACGTAACTTTCGGTTTCATTCATTATTGCTTTAGGTCTGCATGTTTATCCTGCTACTAACTCCTCATTAATGCCTTCTGTATGGCACACAAGGCCATGTATCGTAGGTTTATTCCAGCTGGATGCTGCAGAAGAACACATGTCCATACAGGCCATTTGTAGTGCCATCAACATCTTATCTTATGCAAATTTCTTACTTATATACTATGTCAGCCAGCTGTAGACAAAGTCTCAATATCAGCATAAATTAACTAGGCAGAAAAATCATCAGCAGGACACAAGTATGGCTGTCTAAATGCTTTATATTGGCAAGAAAGTCATGGGGCTAACCTGTGTCTGGAAGGCATGATTGTGGAGCTGCAGGAGACACAAGCCCAATGTCTCCAGGGGTGTGTGTTGGCGGGATCCTGCATAATCCTGAGAGAGGGGGATACATCCACTACCAGGGCCTTTGTAGAGGGCAACACTAGCAGTGCAACGAGTCCTGAGCAGTCCTTGCTCTCCTCAACTACCAGGGCTGCTATTGCACGCAGCCTTGCACAACATGAGGAATAGTGTGGCAGCTCCTTGAGCCCTTCCCCCCGTTGTGCCCCCAGAACAACGGTAGGCTATAATCTTGCTCTGAATCGACAATGACACTTCTGCCAGCACTAGGGGGACTTGCTAGTCAGCAGCAGTATCAAAGCAGATCAGAAGAGAGAAAACTTCAATTTTCCATTAAATTCTGCATTTCACACCAAGATCACAACCACCCTGTTAACCAGAATGCTAGACCTCAAGTAATAACTTTAGCATTGGAACCTGCAGCCCAGGTGAGAATCTCTCTCAAGTGTCCCTGACAGACGTAAGAACATGGTTCAAAGGGTAGCATATAGCAGGGAAGTTACACTAATAGCCTATTAACTGCAAAGCCATCTTTTGTTTACCTGTCTGTAATCTGCCTGTACCTGGGGTCTGATGTGACCACAAAGATGCCTAGCAGTGATTCACTACCAAACAGCTGCCAGTGGTGCCTTATTCCCTCCCAGAACACTGAAAGGGCCTGAACTTAAAACCTCTGAAACCCAGGAAATGGCTCCCATAACACCCCCACCTAACCTTAACTCTGCCCTCCTTTCTTTGTTCTCCTAAGGGAGTCCTCAGTGCTGTATCCCTCCCTAAGACTTGGGGCCAGCAGAAGGGGTGAGGGAGATTGGAGAAAGCGGCTACGTTTTAAAAATGTTAATGGATTTCAAGGCCAGAAGGGACATTGTGAGCCTGCAGTCTGACATCCTGCATAGCACAGGCCAGCGAACAGGAATCTTTGAGCTCTGTAGCTGTAGCTCCAAGCCCCCTTAGGTGGCAGGGCAAGCTCTGCACTACTCCCTGATCGACATGGCTACACTTAGCACAGGGAGGGGCGGAGGAGGGGCATGGGAAAAAGAGCAAGGATTTGGAATTGTGTTGAACACAGAAAAGGGCAGATTCTTTTAGTAGGGTTACCATATTTTAATTTTAAAAAAGGAGGACACTCCACGGGCCCCCGGCCCCGCCCCAACTCCGCCCCTTCCCCAAAGTCCCCGCCCCAACTCCGCCCCCTCCCCTGAACGCTCCGCCCCCTGCTCCTCCCCCTCACCTGCTTCCCGCGAATCAAATGTTCGCGGGAAGCCTGAAACAGGGAGGCAGCAGGTAAGCTGGGGCTGGGGCGGTGGCGGGACGCGAGGAGGTGCAGCCCAGTCCAGCCCCCACAGCCGAGCGGCTCCCTCCGGCCCTGGGGCGCCGGCCCTGGTTCCGGCCAAGCGGCTCCAGCCCAGCTTGGCTCGGGCCCCGGTTCCGGCCGAGTGGCTCCGGCCTGGCACCGGCCCTGGCCGAGCACCGGCGGCTCCGGCCCGGCCGAGCACCGCCAGCCCCAGTTCCGGCCGAGCACCGCCGGCCCCAGCGGCTCGGGCGCTCCCGGCCCCGGTCCCAGTGGCTCCGGCCCAGCTCGGCTTGGGCCCCGGCTCTGGCCGAGCGGCTCCGGCCCGGCACTGGCCGAGCACCGCTGGCCCCAGCCCAGACCCAAGCCCCACGACCCCTCCCTCCCTATTTTCCCGGACATGTCCGGCTTTTTGGGATTTCCTCCCGGACGGGGATTTGAGGACCAAAAAGCCAGACATGTCCGGGAAAATCCGGACGTATGGTAACCCTACTTTTAGGGAGAGACAAGGTTCTACTATATGCTCAGTGCCTATGGCAATCTCCAGGGGGGGCTGGTGTGGTAGTCGTCTGGGGTAGGAGGCATTCCTTTAACTCCACATTTCCTGGGGGTCAGAGTCTTTAGTTTAGCCCCCACATACATGCACTTTCTGGAAGGGTATGAGGCAGGGACGGGCTGCCTGAACTCTGCAGTTTTTGGCTGAGTTTCCCTGGTTTACGAACAATCACAGAACCCGCAAGTTCCAGCACCCAGCACTCCCTCCGCATTTGCTACAGTTACTCCATCTACCAAAGGCACTGGCAGCAGATTAATCCCTTCCTTGCATCACTGCCCAGCTCAGAGAATTGCCCTCTTCCTGCCTCATCCTCCCACCCCAGCCCTCCTGCCCATGAAGGGGTCAGCAGTAGTGGGGAGTCCCACAGGTTGAGGAGCTGAAAAGAGGCTTCAGGGACTGACATGGAATCAGTGGGGGCATTTTGTGAAGCAGACAAATGGGGTCATGGCTGTGAGAAGCTGCAGCACCCCCCAGGTCACCCACTGCACAGCTATGACCCACTCCACTGCACGGCTTTGACCTCCTCTTGCCCCGGAGAGCAGCATCACAGGGAAGGGTAAGCCTGGAGGGGTGCGAAGGGTAAGGGGAATTTTGGAGTCTCTTCCCTCCTCAGGGTCCTTCCCCTGAGGAAGAATTGTTGGTAGAGGAGGGGTATTTGGGAGGAAGCACACAGATGGCTCCACTCCTTGCCCCACCCTCAATTATGTTCCATGCCAGAGGAGGCAACAGTCTTTCCCCTCTTCAGATCCTGGTGTGTCAGAGCTCTGAGCTCCCAAGCGAGCAATGATCCCTTTGATGATGATCCCTTATTCACCAAGAAAACCCAGCTCTTCACCCCCCAGTGAGTGCTGCTCTCACAGTGTCCCTAGAAACAGGGGTTCCTGTGGAGGATGTACCATGCTACATGTGGCAGGACTTTCCCTTATCAAGAACCTCTCTGACTAAGGGTGGGGCTTCTTTAGCCCCAGCCTCTAGAGGGCCAGGCTGTGAGCAAGCCCAGGCCTCCCACGAGGTGGGAGGACAGCAGTTCTGCCCCTGAAGACATCCCCCTTGAATAGAGGGAGCAGTGGCCCTCTCTGGTAGCCTCCCCCTGTGAAAAAGCAAGATGGGGATGACCCAGAGGGGCACTCCCATGAGCCGAGGGGGTGAGAATGAGTTTCAAAGGCCGACCCAACCCAGAATTCCAAGGGTGGGTCCTGCGCGGGTGGCCTGGAAGAACAGGGCACAGCAGTCCGAGAACATGGGATATTTGGAGGGGGACACAAGGCGGATAGAGCTGGAAAAGCAGTGGGGCTTGAGTGTTAGGATGGGAGGGCTGCCACGGCCTCACAAACTGGCTCTGCTGCCATGAGTTGCAGGAGCCTCTCATGAGTAGGGCCCTACCAAATTCACGGCTGTAAAAACACATTGTGAATCATGAAATCAGAGCTCCCCCCTGAAATCTAGCTATTATAGGGGAGGGGTAGAACTGGGGGCACCCCAGCTGGGGGCTTCTACCATGCCTGGGGCTGCAGCTACTAGTCCTGGCAGGGCTGGGGAGGGACCAGACTTCCTCTTGCCCCGGCACAGCCACTCTTGGGCGGGCAGGCGGAAAGGGAAACAGACCCAGTTCTGCGTCCCTCCCCCAGTTTGTGACCCCTCTACAACAGCTTTGCAACCCCTCCCACAAGCCCCTTTTGGGTTGGGACCCTTCAGTTACAACACCGTGAAATTTCAGATGGAAACATCTGAAACTGTGAAATTGACTAATTTTAAAATGCTGTGGCCATCAAATTGATCAAAATAGACCGTGATTTTAGTGGGACCCCACCTATGACCTCTGTGAGTCAGAAGCCGTTCCAGCAGCAGTGCTCCTGCTTGCGTTCCGCAAGCTGCTCCAGGCCCGTCAGTCCATCCCGGGGGAACAAGAGCAGGGAGAAGTAGCAGGGAAGGAGGGGAACTCCTGGTCAGGGCCGGCTCTAGGCACCAGCGTTCCAAGCATGTGCTTGGGGCAGCATTCTGGCCCTTTGGGGGCAGCACTTTTCAAGGGGCGGCACTCCTGCCCCCCCCCCTTTTAGTTTTTTTGCTTGGAACGGCAAAAAACTTGGAGCCAGCCCTGCTCCTGGTAACAGCAGCAAAGGGAGCTGGCGGCTGTAGGGAGCAGCAGCAGGACTGGAACTAGCAGTTACCCTCCCCTGAGGTTTGCATCGACCCTAGAGTGGAGCTGCCAGCCCTGATGCAGCATTTCTTGCCATCTATGCCCTTTGCTAGTGAGGCTCCTCTAGGAAAGGGAAAGTGGGGGGGCTTTCAGGGAGGGGCTCCAGGCTCCCTCACAGCTGATGCTGCACCCCCACCTAGGGTTCCTAGCTCCAATCTACCCCCAACACACTCTCCAAGACTAGCCCTGCAGGGCCCCCCTAAAGGCTCTTCTCCATTTCCAACTGTCCAGGTCCAGCAAAGAAGTGGCCCTCTGATGACGATCCCTTATTTATCTAAGAGATCGTTGAAAATCATCATTTTCAAAAAACAAGTTTTCCCATCTTTAAGAAAGAACTGGGCTTTCGGAAAATGAAGATTTTTGAGGATCTCTTATACAAATAAGGGACTGTCAAAGGGCCACTTTATCAGAGATAGGCAGCTCCAATCGAGAAGAGCCTTGTGGGATCTAGATAAGCCCCTCCATCCTGAGGGTGGGTGTCTGTCAGAGTCTTGGTAGGTAGAAGTGCAGAGACAGGCATACCCTTGTATACCTGAATGAGTCTTTCCACCAGTTTAAAAAGGAGAAGACTTCTTCTGGGACCTTGATCAGCATGTCCATGTGGTGTCTGCTAGGTATATATATACTGATTTCAAAATCACCCTTCTAGATGACCTCTGGCATGTGTGTGACATGAGTGCATGAGGTCATGGGTCCTAGAAATCTCAGACATGCACTGGTGATTCTGGGTGAGCCTGAAGATAGTACCCAGGTAACAGTGGTGTAAGCTGCTCTACTTCAGGGTGTGGTAGACCCTGCCCACACCAGCTTCAAGTCTGACTGGCCCCAGTCAATAGTATGCGATAAGGGCCTCTGCTAAGGGTAATGAGCGAAGGCCAATGGCAACTCAGCTGACAAGAGCCAAGTCCCAATGGCGATGAAGGTGGATGAGCTACAGTTGTGGATGCATGGGCCATATAGGGCAGAAAGGGAGCTAGATCTTCATAATGGTCATCCACACCCACAGAAACCAATAGCATCTGACAGAAGTTCCTGGGAAGGGGGACTGGTGTTCCCAAAAATAAAAAACTCCTCTATATCTCCCCAATCCCAAGGAGGCAGAGTGGGGTGAGGACGGGAAAAAAGCAGCCAGCCACGACAGACCCTGAGAATAGCACCAGGGTTAAAACCCCTGCTATTACTAACGCCAGGAGGAGGGGCATGTTCTGCATGCATAGGACAGAAGCAACCCAAACCCCACTTGTGAATGCACAGCCACGATGACCAAACCAGACTTCAGAGGCACGTTCTGTGTCGCCACATGGAATGTGTTAACACTAACGGCACAGGGTACAAGCTCTTGTCAAAGAACTCAGCCGCTACAAGACTAATTGCTGGCACCACAGAAAAGCAACGCCACCGCCCCCCCCCCCCACTTTGGTGGTCCACACCAAACTCAAGGTGTAGCACTTATTTACTGGACAAACGTCTAGCACACAATTTAATAAAAAAGAACCCCATCTTTCCATGCTTACTCTATGCTCGGCTCCAGCATCATTATGAACACTTTTCTGTTGGTGCATAGGCCACGACGACAGCTGATGCATCACCCGGGCAACAGGATGCATTCTATCACCAACTAGTAGCAAAAATCCAGTGCTTGTGCTTGGAGATTTTAATGCCATGACAGGCGGTGACTGAAGTGGGTATGAAACTATGATAGGTCCCTTTGGTTTAGGTTCACCAAACGAATACATCACTTGGCTTCTGACACTGTGTGCCACTGAGGGATGGTCTGTTACGGGCTCCTGGTTTAGGCACCTTAACAACCATCGCTGGACCTGGATTTCAAATAATGGATGTCATGAAAGAAACTGATCGCATCACTGTCAGATATCGCTCAATAGTGAAATCTCATGAGGTCTTTGGCAACACAGAAACACTAGCAAACTTAGACCACAGATTAGTTGTCACTCAGTCTCTCTCTGCATCTTCCACCTCCTCGCAAGCCAGATATCCACCAACAGTACAATGTCCATTGTCTATCTGAGGAGCCTCTTGATGCCGTGAAATATACACGGCCCATTGAAGATAACATATGTAACCTCGGTATCCTCTCAGATGATGTGGGGATCGCCTGGAGTGTATACGTAATGCTATATCATACACCACCATTGAATAACTGGCTTCAGACATTTGTGCCTTTTAACATCCCCCATTATAAAACTAGATGGGTCTCCCTGCTCAACAATGGATGAGGTCCTGGACAGATGGAAAACATGAAAGTGTGCTGAACCGCGCACCTGCTGATGACTGTCCAAAGCTACGTGACCTGACAAACTGCACAGCTGCAGACCCAGCAGCAAAACTGATCCTCCATCACTCGCGGACGTGTGAAAGACCAAACAAAAGTTACAGAATGGACATGTTGCTGGACCGGAAGGTATTCCGACCCAGTTGCTGAAAGGTGCCTTGGAACCAGTAAGCATCGGCCTACATCAATTCTTCTTAAGTGTGGGCATCAGGCAAAGTACCTACAGAACTGAAAGACAGCATCGGAGCGTACCAGGGCACAAGATCTCTCCTCGAGCGAGGCAACTACAGTCCAATCTCATTATCATCAGTTCCTGGAAAGGTCTTTGTTTATGTTCTTCCTGGTAGAAGGCAGCCACTCCTTAGTAGAGATCGCCGTCTATAGCAATCATGTTTAACTAGTCGACAATGGACACTGTTCTTACCCTTTGGCTTCTAGATGAGCTGTACTGAAAATTTAACCACTCTTTTCATGTGGCATATATCATCATCATCACATTAGCTTTTGATTTGGTCAACGGGTCAGCACTTTGGCTTGCACTGAAAGAAGTTTCAGTTCTAGCTGTTCTGCTAAACCTGGTGTATGATCTTCAGAACAGTAGTGGAGCAAGAGTGCACATTGGGTCATGGCTTTGGTCGCATTTCTACACAACCCCAGGTGTGCGACAATGATGCATTCTCACCCCAGCATTATTCTGTTGAGCTGACGACTGAATAGTAGTACTTGCCACTCCACATGTCAGAATCAAGGATGATCATGAAGGGTTTGCTGACCAACAACATTCCCTTGTTTGTTGAGAAGTCAGAGAATTTCAGCCCCGCCCACCACCATCTCCAAGACACCATCCACAATATGGGATTGAATGTCTCATGGCAGAAGACCATGGCCCAGAAATTCAGAACTGGGCCACCAGAACCCCCCAGTGCAGTGAGTGCTGTCGAGAGTGGTGATGAGTTTATCTACCTAGGGTGCAAGCAGAGTTCAAGCAGTCACAGCAAACTGGACATTCTTCAATTACTAGGTCCTGCTGCCTCCCGCATAAAGTCTGTGTCTCACTTGTGGATGCAAGAACTTGTTTGTGTTGACCCAAAAAGCTCAGGATCTATCAACCTGTGTATTACCTGTATTGCCACAGATGTCAGAAACCTGGGCCCTACTATAGGCAGACTTGGAGCAGCTGGAGGCATTCCATACATGCTGTCAATGCCAAATCCTGAACATAACACGGTTTGACTTAGTGCAAAATATCTTAATCTCACAGAGATCTAGCCTCCCTTCAATCAGTGATTATATTCAAAAGCAGCATTGCATGCTCTTTGACCATTTCGCCAAGATGGACAAAAACTCTTCAGCACACGGTGCTCTCAAATTCTCCATCAACGCTCAAAAGGGGTGCATGTTATGACTTGGCCTGGTACCGCCTACAGGGCAACCCCAAAGATTCATAGATTTGTAGGATTGAGCCAGATCTGGGAACTTCACTACACATTGCCTTGTGCATCACCATGGTCAGTGGCCGGCACAACAGTCCTCAGTAGGCTGCCTGTGTTTGATGATGAAGAAGTTGGTTGAGGACAGCTATTACCTATTGGTGAAAATCCTTGATGCTGTAAGAAAGACAAAAAGGCAGGACTCCGTCTTGGCAGTAGGATGCCAGGAATCAGAGGTATTTCCTGTGGGCTGGATGGATTGATAGCTCTTCACCTGCATGATGCTGATTTCCATCTACGAACTATGGCCATTATGAGCACTGTATCAGATGCATCAGCACAGCTTACAGCAAGTGTGGGCAGTCAGACGTCTCTCTGCCATGAAAGATGACTTCTTCTCCTGCTGCTCCTTTGGCCATTTGTCTATACATTAAGACTCTGTCCCAGTTTAGACAGTCATATTTGGAGAGGAGGGACTGATAGGAAGGCCAGCCTTAACTGGAGGTTAGCCTACAAATACATCTTGTGGCCGAAGAAGTCCTGAATTGCTGTCACCATAGAAGAAACTGGTGCTCAATGTGAATAAAAAAAAATATATTTGAATTCCTTAGCAGGGACTTGGTACCTTCCATCTGCTCTTTATCACGCGACCTGGATGGATGTAGGTGGATGCCAGACAGCTTTTTCAGCCTTTAGCAGGCCTTTATTAATGGGGATGGCAAGCCTCCCTGGTGTAGAAGGATGTAGAATGCTTCTCTTGAACCACTTCCAGGGCTATGTCTAAGGCTTCCAACACACATTTCATCAGGTCCTGGAATACCTTAAAAGCCACCAGTGAAGGCGGACACAGATGGGAGTCACAGACTTGTCAGGAAACAGTGAGACTATTACAGCAGGGAATGGTTGCTCTTCCCCTGGCGCTGATGTTCTTACCTTTCCTCCTGCCTTCCAAGTACCCATGGCTGTACCAACTGGCTTATCTGAGAAGGCTTAATGTGTCTCTTTGGAGAGGGTGATCTAGCCCGAGAGTCAATGAAGTACAGCTGTATTTTAATTTTACATGCCAGCAATCTGGTTCTATTTTAGTTTAGGTGGACCCTGTATGGGCGTCTCCTTCCCCCAAAAGGTTCCCAATAAATCTAAAACCCTCCTCCCTACACCAGTGTCTCATCCATGCATTGAGACCTCACAGTTCTGCCTGTCTAAGTGGCCCTGTGCGTGGAGCTGAATGCATTTCAGAGATGGCTGACATGGAGGTCCTGTACTAACTACACTATCTAAATATTCTATACAAGGCTAGCTAAAATCACAGTATGTGCCAAATAAGCAGACACAGCAGGGGTTTCATCTCACTGCCATGGGTGGTAAGAAGTAACGGAGGGAAAGTTGGGGCCACTCTGCCCTTTATACTCTTGGGTGGGATGTGTGACTGCACAGCCAGTGGACACAGTTGACCAAAATACTTGGTTCTCACATGCACGGGGCACATGTGCACCAACAGTGGAACAAGTCTGGACAATCACTTGAAGTAGAATAGTTTGTCCTCTCTTTTCAAGGCATTAAAAACAAAGAAGTTATCCAAGTAAATAAAAGGTGTTTAGATGCAAAGAAGAGACAACCACATGTGATTACTCCAGGAAACAGACCATGCCCTGTGAACAAGATTCTCCAGGTTATTCACCTAGTAGCATGAGCGGGCGCCCAGAAAGGCCGGCGTTCTCCAAGTGTAACACTACCAGGGTGCTGCTGATGCGCAGAGCCCGAGCAACAAATGGCGCCGAGTGATCCAGCAGAGGAGTGTTCCGAGCATCCAGGTACTGCAGACAGTTAGTCTGGAAAAGGAAAGCAGAGGGGTGAGATGACAAACAAAACAGAACAAAAACATGTAGCCATTGCACACTTTCAAAGCACATTTAAGTTCTACTCAGGTCAGCGGGGCACAGCCTCTGCATATACTTTGCCTGATCTGCCCTTCCGTCTAGGTCTCTCTCAAAGCACTTTACAAACATTATTGAACTCCCTAGGAAAAAGAGTTAGGTAACATACCATGGTTTTAAAGATGAGAAAAAACTAAGGCACAGAGGAGTAATATCTTGCTCAAGATCGTATCATATGAATCTGTGACAGAGAAGGGAATAGGACACCAATCTCCCTGCCTTAAGACCTGTGCCTTAACCATAAGACCATCTTTTCTTTTTTCACCCATGAAACAGAATTTGGGTATTTATGTATATCTCGGCAACAAACATGTTAATCCAACTACTAGCGACAGTCCAACCAGCTGTAAAGAACATACACACACAAAAAAACACCATACAGCATTCCAGAATTCAGCCTGCCAGTAACAAATACAAAATATAGGAATGGCAGTTTCCCCTCTAGTCAGTAACACTTAATGCTTCAAACAATAGCGGATTGCCAGCAAGTGCCGCATTATGCAATTCAGCCGATTGTGGACAGTGCCTTTTCGCTGCTTCAGAGGAAATGCCTTGGAAATATAAAGGGAAGTGATGGAGTTTGCTGAAGTGAAGAGGCCAGAATGGGTCTCCAGATTTTCAAAGCAAGTAAGGTAAGTGATTTCAGACATGCCTGCTTCTTTTGTTAATTTCTCAGAGAACAACTAAGATGCATCTTCTAGGAATTAGCCATTTTTCCTTTTACGCTAGTTTGTATTTTAGCTGTCACCTGCTCTTCTTCTAGCTGGCAGGGGAAATCATCTGTGAGACCTCAGTGGTTTGGGACTCAGTTACTCAAGAAACATGTTCCATCCACCCATGTTCCCTTAGAGCAGCGAAGATAAGCTGGGCACTTTAGCATGGGCTCCTAGGATAAAAATCTAGTGCTGGTAGCAGGACATTTTCAGTCAATGGCTCTTGCTCATGGAATTCACTTCCTCTGGTGGCCTTCGGGGCACTTTGTAAGCTGCTAGTTAGGCAAGGTTTGTGGTGAGAAGAGACACACCAAAAAATAAATGTTGACACTGGGCTACCATAGCAATAATGATCCCATCTGCAGTACTGATTGTAATGGTCTGTTTTTAAATACCGAGAAAACGGATTAGCATGGGAACAGATTACATAGAAAGATCTTTACAAATAAGTAAAAAGGAAATTCTCAGGTAAGAAACAAAATGATACCAATCTTTGAATATCCATCTCCAGCCATCATACCACATCCTGCCAGTCTGGAGAAAAAGAACAAACCTTTTCAGATTGGGATGGGGCTAAGGACTCTATTTGGATTGAGCAGATTTGTCTAGAACACCTCAAGCGGGAATCTTCAGAGCATCCTGATGAGGTGCTGTGCCCAGTGCTGGTAGCAGGACATTTTCAGTCAATGGCTCTGAGAGAAGGAACTCTGTGCATGAGCCCAGCATCCAGAGGAACTTCATCAAGATCGGTTGATGACTATATGGATATGGCCATCTGAAGAACAGTGGAAACAACCTTTGCATACATTCATCTGAAAGAAATACCATGCAACAGCTCACGTCTGCAACTACAGTGAGAGATCTTCACTGGGGAAAGGGGACTTGTTCCTGGCTGAAGACTACAGGAATGAGATGTTAACTGCTGTACAGCAGTTAGTCTACTCATCCAAATAAGCCTGTATGAGGTATTCCAAAATTACGGTAAATGCGACACCTTTGCTGTCTCCAAGCAGCCACTAGAACTAATAAATCCTTTATAGATACTCTACAAGGCAAGTAGGCCCAAAGGTAATGCTTGGTCTGAAAAACAGAGGCTGTAGTATGAAAATTGGAGAAAGTTTCTTGTAATATTCTTGAATAATATGGAGACGCCCCTTTCACTGGGCCTACAGTAGTTATACAGTGGCTGAGGAAAATGAACACAGAATTTCTTTTTCTGATTATCCACCATGACCCTCAAGTCTTTTTCAGAGTCACTGCTTTCCAAACTACAGTCCCCCATGCTATAAGTGTGACCTACATTCTTGGTTCCTAGATTTACCGCCTTGCATATACGTATTTGCTTGCACCCAGCTTATCAAGTGATCCAAATCACTGTTTCAGCAACCTGTCCTTCTCAGTATTTACCACTCCCCCACACTTGTGTCATTGTAAACTTTATCAGTAAGGCTGCCAGTTTGTCACGGAGGTCACAGAAGTCACGGATTCCGTGACTTTCCGTGACCTCTGCAGTGGCCGGTGCCCCTAGCCCAGGGGGGCCGCCTGAGCAGCATAGGCAGCCCCTGGGCCAGTTGCACTGGCTGCTGCTGGGGAAGTCTCAGGCCCCCCCAAAATAGGGCCAAGATGATGATTACCTGTTTATAATTATATTTTGAGAATTCTCAGTTAGCCAGATTTTAATCCATGTAACGTGTGCCGTGTTGATTTTGAATCGTTCTGTTTTTTCATCAAAATGTTATATGCTACCAACACAAACACCTTACAGACGTCTATTACATCAATACTGTTACCATTATCAATCAAACTTGTAATCTCATAAGAGAATTTGACAATCTATTTTCAATAAACTCATGTTTAGGTCAGAAAATGCAGAGAAAAAGTGAGAACTGCCAAAAGCCAAGCAGAGTTGGATCTTGCAAAGGTAATTAGAAACTAGCAATAAAAGGTTCTTTAGCCATATAAATAAAAAGAAAACAAGGAAAGAAGAACCGGGACCACTATTCAGGAGGATGGGAGTAAAGATTAAAAGATAATGCAGGTATGGCCCAACGCCTGAACGATTACTTTGCCTCAGTTTTTAATCAGGGTAATGAGGAGCTTGGAGGCAGTGGCAGGGTGGCTAATGAGAACAAGGCTCTGGAAGAAGAAATTCCCACATTCGAGGTAGAAACCAAATTCAAACAGTTTAATGGGATCAAATTGGAGGGCCCAGATGACCTCCATCTAAGGATATTAAAGGTACTGGCACATGAAATTGCCAGCCCAGTAGCAAGGGTTTTTAATGAAACCGCAAACTTGGGGGGGTCCATATCCTATGACAGGAGAATTGCAAATATCATACCTATATGTAAGAAAAGAAACTGATCTGAGAAACTACAGGGCCATTAGTTTGACCTCAATTGTATGCAAGGTCTTAGAACAAATTATGAAAGAAAGATTAGTTAAGGACAGAGGTAAACAGTAACTGGGATAAAATACAGCATGGTTTTACAAAAGGCAGATGGTCTGGCACTAACCTGATCTCTTTCTTTTGAGAAGATAACTGATTTTCTAGACAAAGGAAATGCAGTAGATCTAATCTACCTGAATTCCAGTAAAGCATTTGATACAGTTCCACTTAGAAAATTATTAGTTATATTGGAGAAGATAGGGATTAATATGAGAATCAAAAGGCAGGTAAGGAACTGGTTAAAGGGAAGACAACAACAGATCATGCAGAAAAGTGAACTGTTAAACTGGAGGGAGATTACTAATGGAGTTCCCTGAAGGATCAGTCTTGAGACTAATCTTATTTAACATTTTCATTAGGAGCTTAGCACAAAAAGTGGAAGTGTGCTAATAAAACTTGCAGATGACAAAGCTGGGAGGTATTGCCAACACGGAGGAAGACTAGAATATGATACAAGAAGATGTGGACAACCTTGAAAACAGGAGTAATAGAAATGGGATGAAATTTAATAGTTCAAACCGAAAGGTCATGCACTTTAGGGACTAACAAGAAAGGTCCCCAGCTTAAAGCAAAAATTTATCAGTTGAAAGTGACAGAGGAGACTATGAGCTGCCAATGTGATGTGGCCATGAAAAAGGCTAATGCAAACCTAGTATGCATCAGACAAGGTATTTCCAATAGAGATAGAGAAGTGTCATTATCATTATACAATGCACTGGTGAGTCCTCATCTAGAATACCGCATGCAATTCTGGTCTTCCATGTTTAAGAAAGATGAATTCAAACTGGAACAGGTGCAGAGAAGGGCTACTAGGATGATCAGAGGAATGAAGAACCTACCTTATGAGAGGAGACTTAAGGAGCTTGGCTTGTTTAGCCTAACAGAACGAAGGTTGAGGAGAAATATTATTGCTCTCTATAAATACATCACGGGGATAAACACCAGGAAAGAGGAATTATTTAAGTTAAGAGCCAGTGCTGGCACAAGAACAAATGAATATAAACTGGCCAGCCACAAGTTTAGGCTTAAAACTAGATGAAAGTTTCTAACCATCAGTGGAGTAAAGTGCTGAAACAGGTGTGATTAGATGTTCGGCCGCCTGTGTGTTCTCTCTGCATTCTCCCTGTGTGCTGCCCCAGCTCTGCGCAGACAGCCGGCAGAGCAGACCTCGAGCAAACCACCCTATGACCACAAGATCCGCCAAGGTACAAAGGCGCCAGGCCAGGTTTATGTTGATGAAGCACAGTAGTAGTATCCCGCAGACTCTACCGGATCACTAACATATGTATGTCTGTAACAACGGACCAGCTCAGTGAACGGTGGGACTTTCCGTTCCTCCCTAGGCTAGACAAAGACACTCCCTCTGAGATACATCGTATACCCCGATACAAACAAGTTACGTACTGCCCCTCTGACACAGTTAGTTACTGCCCCGATGTGGCTAGTTATCACCCATCACCTTGTACGTGTTGGTTCGATCAAAACATCTCTATTACGAACTGTCATCCTGACCTTATCTTTGAGGAGGGGTCAGTATGTTCCTGTTATCCTTGGGAATGTTTTTGTACCATCTTTGATCTGGGGGATGTTCTGGTACCACTTGATATTGCGATGTGTTTGCGTGAGTACTCTGTGCCTAGCACTTCTTAGTCATGTGTATTTCAGCCCTGTTCTTGCCAGATTCTGTGAGCAGGTCCTGCCTCTTGCTCACAGCTTGTCTTTGCTTTATATCA